CGGAATGGAGAGTGGCCCAAACGGAATGGGGGCCAGCCCAAACTCTGGCTCACGTATGTACCCCGAAGGACGTTCAGCGCTGTCCTTGGAGTAGCTATTCACTGCAATAGCTGGCCTTCCTGAGAGTGTCCATTCACGTCCATCTCTGCAAGAGGAGTCGGACGGTTTACTTCCGTCCTTGTCAGAGCAATCAGTATTCAGTGCGCTGCCCTAGGTCACTTCGTCTCCGTGCGAGTGGTGTGGGCGACCAGCCACCCCCGCCCGTACCGTCGCCTCGACCGCCTGCAGGCTGACCAGTGTTTCCACATCGGCTTTTGAAAGTACCCGCGTGTGGCCGGCACAATACATATTTCATTCGGCCGAGCGCCGCGTGGCGACGCACAGAGAAAGTACCCACACGGAGCGATGAAAGTGACTCGGGGGAGAGGCGCCCTGCCGTCGGACGGGCCGCCCAGGACCGACCGATGCGTCGCTCTCGATGACAGAGCACTGCGATGGGTTTCACGCCTGCCGCCCTTCTCCGCCGCTCGATCCTGCTCGAGCCGCCGCGGCTGGCACCTTCCGTTCGCCTCGGCAGGCCGTTCCCACCTGCCACGGGTTCCCACCGCTCTCGATAACAACACAATAGACACGGGTGAACACGGAGAGGTACCCCTCAATTGCCGTCGTGATCCGTCTTTCCCGACCCCAGGCTGTCGGTCCCCCTGAGATGCCCTTCCGGGACCCTTTCCCCTTCAGGCATTCAGGCTTCGTCTTCTCAGCCCCTCGTGTCTTACAAGATCAATGCGAAAATATGTGAAAGTGATAAGAAACATCTGATTCTGAATTATATAAAGTTGATATCACTGCCGGCACAGGACGGCACATTTCAAATGTGACATGTTACAAACCGCAATTGACAAGTTACAGACTAAACGTGACGCGGCGTGGACCAAACTTGGCGCCGCCGCCGCTTTGTCAGATGCGTGAGGCCGGCCGGACAGATGTCCGGTACCGTTCATGGGTTGAAACGCTCGGACAGCTAACGGTGCGCCGAGGAATGCCCGCCGCGCCGTGTGGGGCGGCTGTGTCCGAGCCCTGTCCGCCTGCCGGGTCGGGAATCCACTGCGTGCTGCAGAGCGGTTCCGATTGCGGCTCTGTTCCCTGACGGGGAGCTGAGAACGGCTGGCGGCGCCGCCGGCGGCAACGCATCGCTGCGGGATGACGCGGTGACGGCGGCGGCCAGGGGCTATCTCCCACCGCGTCGGCAGTCGTCAGGAGGCACGCTAATACCCGCCCCCACCCGGCGATTAGACGGCTATTGGGCCTCTGACGGGTCAGAGGTGAACACTCGACGGTCGCGGCTGAGCCGAGCGACCGTCACCGCCTGGAGCAGGTCCACCGTCCCCCGCCCGCCCTCCACCGTCCACCGCTAGAGCTGCCAGGTACAAACACCTCCCACGCACCTCGGTGTCGTGCTGAGTGTGACAGCCCGTGCGCCGTTCCGGCCGTGTAGCGCCGCTGTCCCAGCCGTGCCCGACACGACTGGCGCCGCTGGGCCGCCGTTTTTGTCCCGGTGCTGACGGCCGTTGGTGTGAGAGTGCGGGGTCGCGGCGCGGTCGACCGACCGCCTGTTTGTCTTTCCCAGGCCGGTCGCCAGTCGGTGATTATATACGAATCAACCGTCATTTCGGAGGGTCGCGCTAATGTCTCGCGATGGTCGGTGTCTGGTCGGGCCCGACCGCGATCGGTGGTGAAACAGATCGGTCGGAGAGAGTGGCGGAGTGGGAGAGAGCCGCGGAGGCTGCGTGCCGTCGCCGCATACCTGCCGAGCGCCGGCGGCGGCCGCTGGTCGGCCATGAAACGACGCGACGTGACCTGCATGGTGGTTAGTCGAGCGGCGCGTCCGAGAGCCGGAGGCCGACGCACGGCGCGGCGCGAGTTAACCTCGCCCTCCTTCCAGCGTGGGCTGGGCCGGGCCGGGCAGGAGTTGGACCGCACTCGGTCGGAGCCGCGCGGGAGGAGATGCACTAAGGATAAAGTAATGAAGTTTCAGGGAAAGGACATTTAGAGATGGAGTATTTTTCACTCTCAACTGTCGGCAAGTCCTTAATAAATAGCCAATCTTCCGCCGGTATCCCAACTTGAGCCAAACATCCACCCATTCCCACCTGACCCCGGCCACGGTCCCACCTGACCCCGTCACGGTCCCACCTGACCCTGTCGCCGTCCCGCCGCCGTCCCGCCGCCGTCCCGCCGCCGTCCCGCCGCCGTCCCGCTGACCAGCTGGCGTCCCCGCCCTCCGCGTCGTGTCAGTGGGCCGGTGCCGACCGGCGGAAATCTCAGATCAGTGCCGGCCGGCGCCACGTGGCCACCTCGGAATGCCGCGAGACGGCCGGTTTCCTCGGCGCCGCCAGGGTGCGGCCAACAGGGAAAGGGTGAAACGGCTTCACAACCGCGGCGTTTGGTGGGATATTTGGGTCGGTAAAGACACGACAGACTGATGTGACTGATCGAGACGGGCCGAGGGAGGCCGTGAGACACAAACGGACACGTCTGATCGATTTGTGACGCCCGAGAGAGATTCGCTGTCAGGAATGTTCTCACTTTTGTGGATGGCAGTGTGATAGCTGATAATTCAGCCGAAATGGATGAATAACTTCTCGACTGATATCTCGTCTCACTTTTCTAGACGTCTGAACGGTCGGTGATCGCTATCAATTTACATACATTACAAGAGGTCTCGCCTATACGATAGGTGATGCCTTTCTAATGAGCGTCGTCCGTATTTAAAGTCGCGCTGAGGCGCGTTTAATCTCCGCCATCGCCGCTGTGGTGGCGCCGTTTGACCTTCAGTTGTCCGCGGCGGTGCGGGCCGTGAGTGGCGCCGGAGAGGGCCGCCCTGCCGTCCCGGCTCCCCACCCGACCAGGTCGCGACCCGTGACCTCGCGCTCCGTGTCCCGTGTCGACACGGCTGCAGCGCGCCTGCACTCGGCATGTCAGCGGCGCCGCCTGCGCGCCACCCAGTGCCGCTTCTGCGCCGCGTCTGCCCGCGCCCGCCGCCCAAGGTCGCAGTGTCACGGCGCCGCAGCTCGCCGCAGTGCGCCGCGATGTGGTGTAGTGCGCCGCGATTCGCCGCGCGGCGTACCATAGCGAGCGGTCGTGCCGCACCGTGCTGGGCGGCTCGGCGCGGCCCGCACTGCAGTTGCAGCTCCGGCAGTGACGGGGCTGAGAGAGCCGCCGCTCACCGTGCCGCTCGATTAGGGAAGGTCAGGTGAGGAGACCGCTGCAGAAGGCACCGGTGCTCGCGATGGGAAACGTCCCACACTGTGCAGCGCTCACCCAGCGCAACGGCTGGTGAGCCTGCGAGACCTGGAAGTTCAAAACATGTTCCGAATCACGTCTTTGCTACACTCACACCTTCACGGGTTTGCCGACTTTCCACACCTTTCTCTGCCGTATCTTACCAGACTCATTTCTAGCCGTCTCACCCTGTGAGCTGTCCCACGCCTATTTTTATTTCATGGCGTGGTCTAACGATCCGTGACGTCTGCGCCGTGTGCGTGACGTGGTCACGTGACCGTCACCTGGGAGTCACCTGTCGGCTCCTCGAGTCACTGGACCGGCGCAGCGCCTCCAGTTCCCGGTCCAGTGTGCTCCAGTACCCGGCCCGTCGAGCCACCGTGCTAGGCAGTCGAGCCGGCGGGCCAGACCGGCGCGTCAGACCGGCGAGCCACCGAGCCGCACAACCGTGGAACCGCGCTACCACCGGAATGCGGCCAGCCGCCGCCCAGAATTGGCCCCACGTCACGTGGTGGCTCGGCCAGCATGGCGGCCCGCACAGCGGCGCCGCGAGCCTGGTATGGGCGGCGCTGGTTTAGGAAGTGCTGGTCTGGACGGGACTGGCTCGAGTAGTTAGTGCATGATAACTGACGGAGAGCGTTAGTTTGGTTTGATCTGTACTCACTGTAGTGAACTGGTCGTTCCCAGCCAGGACTTGTTGGCCGATCGGTGCAGGCTGAGCTGCTCCATGGCTGCTGCTCGATGCTTATGCTATCAGTCTGCCGGTTACGGTTCGGCACGGTCCAGCAGGCGGGCTGAGAGGTGACAGCTGCCAGTGATATGACACTGACGCCTGTCACCTCGCGGTCACGGTACACTGCTGACGCCAGGCGATACACCGCCTGCCGAGGGCGATATGTCGCCCGCACCGGGCGATACATCGCTCTGGGTCGGCGTGCTGTCGGCGCCGCGGCCGTCCGTCTCTGGTCTGACGTCTCGGCGGGCTGGTCTACACCGGGCCCCTCCACACCGGGCACCGGTCCGGTGTCGGGTGGCTGATGAGCGAGGAAGATCGGCGCGTCGCGCGGCTCGTAGCTTAGCGGGTGTGTCGGCAGCTATCAGCCGGGATGGACGGATGGCAGCGGATCTCACTGCTGTCCCGTCAGCCAGCCGGTGACGTACGGTTAGCGTTGCTCTCGCTACCCGGCGCCGTCAGCTGCAGCGATGTACGGTTTATCTTGTTTTCGCGACGAGGGGGCCTCTGCCAGATGCCGTATCCGCTAGCCTGTGACATTTCCGTGGCTCCTGAGGCAGCTGCGGCTCGGCTGAGGATGGAGATAGTCTCGCTTCGGTCCACTCTAGTACGTCCGAGGCTCCGCCCCATGGCACGGGGGTGCTAGCTCATAACTGTTTCTGCTTCTGTGCTGGGCTTCTGTGGTGAACCTAGATAGTGGACGATTGTTCCAAATGAAGTTATGTGACGCCCTTTGTCGTCCTATCAACGCGATACATGTCCGTACGCCATCGTACTGCAATTGCTAAAGGCGGGCTGAGACGTTTTCTGGTCGTCGCCGTTTATCTGATCCTCGTTAGGTCACTGTTCCGGGTGTTGTGGCGATCGGCCCATGATGCACGGTGTGATTTGATGGCCGGCCCAATACCCAACCACCCCTTTGCCTCACACCAGTGAGTGTTCTACTTTGCGACCCATCTAACGTTATGTTCTCTATATGTTTCAGGCCGAGGAGCTGAACACCATCGTGGGCAATGCCTTTCGGATGGCGTACGCGGCCCGTCTCCAACGGTCGTGCCTTCGCTCAGCGGGCGGTGCCGCTGACCAAACCGCCTGGGACCTGGACGGCAGGAACAACCACGACAAGACCAACAACCGAACCTGGGTGAGTGGCAACGCTAAATCGTGATGTTTTATGCGTCCGAAAGTGATTGAATACGTAGCGCTTTGCCGGTGCTTATAGCTTTGCCCATAGATGGCGGTAGTGGGAACGCCTGAAGGTAGGCTGTACCGCAGGGCTCGGTTCTGAGACACTGTGCGGAGGACCGGGAGAAACATTTATATGTATTACCACGCACTGCTAATACGTGCATTGGGAACGAAGTGCTTGTTCAAGCTACTTTTCCTTTATGCAACTCATTTCCTGTATCACCTACTACAATAGACCGGAAGGCACCAGCGCGACATACCGGTTGCAGATTATCAATCTGTTGTCTTGCCCTTCGATGTCCAATTCAAAGCCATGTTGTTAACAAATCGTGAAGCGGTCTGGTTACGAGGAAAATCCGTTCTGTGACATCCAACCCCGACTGAGCATCCTCGCCACGAAAAACGTCTGCAGCGCGGTCCCATTCTTCGTCTCCGTAAGTGCACACTGGGACGGTCTTTCCTGGTCCTGACTGCGGGCCGCGGTAGGAAGACGCCGGTCGGTGCGCGGTGGACGCCGGTCGGTGCGCGGTGGACGCCGGTCGGTGCGCGGCGCTGTGAATCCCCGGCGTGGCGCGTCGCTATGCCGCCGTCTCGTCGCCACTGCTGGCCGGCCCGTCGCCGGACCGGATTGTCGGCATTCCCCCGGCGCATAGGTGCCTGTGGCGTGCAGGTGTGTGCCGGTCCGGCACAGCTAGACTGGATTCCAGCGCCGCTCCGACGAGAGCCGCGACATGTCCAGGCCGGTCCGGCCGGCGACTACACAGCCGCGCGTTGACATCCAACACACCGTAGTACCGCAGCGGCGGAGTAGTACAGAGTAATCCCGTGTTGAGCGGACCTGGGCCGGGCTGAGCCGAGCAGCTGTGGGCAGGCTCAGAGCCGTGGTATGGACGACTCGTCTCAATGTCAAGCAGTGCGGTGACGGTCGGCGGCCACAGGCATCCGGCTGAAACCACAGCGCGCTGTAGGAGACTATTTTTAGCATTTACACCGCACAGTTTCATCCAACTTCTCCTTCAGGATAATAGAGGACAGCTTTGAGTGCCCTGTTCTCAGTCGTCTGACCACATTTCTCTCCCTCCTCCGCAGGGCCGTCGCTCGAAGCAGCACCGAGAGCCGAGCCGACGAGACCTCGCCCGCGGAAAGAACGTCAACCTGACCTCTCTGACGGCTTCCCCGGTGGAGGTACCCGAGAGTGCGCCTCTGCCGCCGCCGCCGGCCGCCTCCCGGCTATCGGCCGAGCCGCGCTGTCCCCTACTGACGGGATATGTCAACGAGACGGTGTCGACTACTGACTCGGAGTCCCGCTCTAGTGAGAGCGAGGGCCGGCCGCTGTCCGCCGGCGCCCGATCCGTCTCCGCCAGCAGCCAGAGGTGAGAAACAGACCGGCGTTTGAGCGAGAACGGAGATGAGATGGGCTGTCACGGGTCACCTCGTTTGCTGGAATTTTGTTAACTTTATCGTGATGCTCTGCCTCTTCTGTTTTCAACTTTCTTTAAGCATTTTTATCTATATTAATATTAGGTGTTATTATTGATATTGATATTCACATATTGACCGTTAACATTTACGTGAAAAAAAAAATCGATTCAATTTATCCCAATGGTCACATTCAAATGGTTGCTGTGCCGGTGCATGCTTTATTTAGCTGTTTGATTTACTAACCACAAAGAATCTAGCTAACCGTCTGTCTTCTTTTCTCGCCAGTCTACGAGAGGACTCGAAGAGCTGCCACTGGTCGAGTGCCTCCAGCTCTGTCTCCGCGCCCGCCGCGGACGGCACGAGCGGGGCCTCGTCATCGCCGGCGCCTCCGCCGCCCTACTACCAGCAGGGCCCCAGCCGGGAGGCGGTCGAACTGCGCACCGCCGCCTGGTTCCAGGCGGGCATCCCCAGGTGAGAGTCTGGGAATTGTGAGAGGAGTGATGAGAAAAGGTTGGGCGTGGAGGAGAGAGGGAGGGTCCGGAAGTGTAGGGACAGGGACGCACACCGACTGGGTTGTTATGACCAGAAAGCTTGCAAGGAAGCCAGGAGTTGTAGATCAGGTCTACATACATTAGATAGATGATGATGGCTGGCTGTAAACTTGTGCAAAATAGCTTGTTTTGTGTCGAGGGTATATTGTGTCAACAGGCGGCCGCAATCGTTTAGAGATCAGCATTGTTTCATGTTATCACGGACTTGCGCTTGTGCCCTTGCCCTCTAGCTGAAGCCAAATCTGTGAGGCTTTCCTCTTCTGACGAAGCTGTATCTCTTTCCTCAGGGAAATCGCCCTCGAGGTGCTCTCGCAGGAGCCGGTGGGCGCGTTCATGGTACGAGAATCGACCACCAAACACGGCTGCTACGCCCTGTCCCTGCGAGTCCCACGCGACTTCCAGGTTTCAGGCATAGCGCACTACCTGATCCTGAAGACCGCAAAAGGATACAAAATCAAGGTGAGCATGACAAAGTTTTTGGAGTGTTGTATAGGGATTGAATGGACATGATATTGAATTTTATCGTAATATATGCCTGGAATTAGTGTACACCCAACTTAACTTTTGTGTGAGCTTCTTTCCCAGACGTACTTCTGAAGGGTTTAACACATTAAAATTAATGCGTTACGTATGCCGACCAGCCTCCTGTCTCCTGAATGGTTTATCACCCATGCTAACGGCCTTTCTTCTGTTTGTCTGCAGGGTTTCATGAAGGAGTTCACCTCCCTGACGGCGCTGATCACGCACCACTCGGTGATGCCCGAGCTGCTGCCGTGCACGCTCTCCCTCAGCCGCTACAACCCCAACTTTGCGCGCTCCGAGTCGGCCCAGGACCTTGTCGAGCTCACCGATACCGACTCCGAGTACAACGGACTGAGCGAGCTCTCCCGTGCCACCGCCGACACCAGTGTGTGATGCCGCCGCCAGAGGCGCCAGCGTCTGCGCAAGTGGGCGCAGGTGGCGCCACCAGCGCCGGGCTGTGGCCGAGCCGGCGGCTGGGCAGCGGGCTCTCGAGCTGCTCCGACAGGCTCGAAGCCTGCGCCTGTGATACTAACGCTAGTTGACAGTTGCCGAACTCGTGTAGATAAGCGGAAATGTGTTTATTATTTATTGGAAGTGTGGAGGCGGCCGCACTGCCGTACTTTGATGACAACTGACGAGGGAGGAAATCGCACAGTCAGCGAGAATATTGTCCTGTGCGGTCCACGCGTAATTGTGATGTGGCTCCTGAATAAACGTGACGTAATTAATTACACATGTTTAAGACCAGATAGATAGTTGGATACCCGAGGTAGACGACGCGTTACACTTCATACAGGGATTCGACGGCAAAAGTGGCGACCCAGGCTTCAGAAGCGTTCTCGGTTCTCCGTATCAATATACGCACGAAGCTGCGTTGGAACATCAAACACATAATAACAGACATTGTATAACTAACATTGATACTCAATACACGACTAGAAAAACCAGACCACGAACATCAAAACGTTGCCGGGAAGCCCATGCCCTAAGACGAGCAAGTCGAGTGAGAATAGAACCTTCAAGGCCTCCCAGACGTTCAAGGAACGAGCTCGCCTCTTTCTCCCGGTCTCCGGGAAATGAGCTCGGATGGCTGGCTCTAGCGACAAGGAACCTAGCCCTGGACCAGACCGCCTCTCCGTCGTGGCCCCCTGCCACCGGGTTAGTATCTCACTTCCCAATATTCACATTTCCTCCCCCGGTTTTAATTTCACTCACATTTTCCTACCAGTCTGCTTCCTCTTTTGGTCGATTCCTTCAATCTTCTATCTTCTCATCCAATCAAACAGATGCAATAGCGTGTTTGTATTACCATCATATAGTCTCAATATACATCATTTACAATAGTAATAATACAGATTTGTTAACAAATGCAGCCATGGTTGGAATCTCCTGTATCACTGTCGCCGACTCGAAAACATAGAGTCGGACGGACGCGGAACGCAGAGGAAGACGAGAAAAAGACACTCCGTGGCGCAGGCGGCAGCCGGGCGGCCAAAACGGCGCACCCGTGCCGCCAGGGCTGTGATAGGCACGGAAGAAAGCGTAACAACATCGCGTAACGCCACAAATACGGCGGCCGGAAGGGTGTCAGTGGTCACCGTCCGTTCACACATACGCACCGCAAACACGCACACACGCACATCACTTACACAGTGGCGCTACCGCGGTGATCAGTGCAGCAGTGCGTGTGTCGCTTACAGGCAACGGCCCATCCCTAGACATATCCATGGATGTCCACAGGCGTCCACAGAGTCTCCACAGGCGTCCACATATACGCCCACAGACCGCCGGCAAGTTAAGTTTCCACGGCGGTCCCCCAGTCCGCCGAACCTACGATAAAATCCGCCGGGCTACCGTCCCGGCACTGGCACTGAGGCTAGTACACCTCGTTTGATCACTGCTTAGAGGGGGCCGCTTTGATTGACCCCAGCCGTGGCGACTGTGGTGGTAAAACACCACCGAAGACATGTCATGAGCAGCTCATCTTGCCGTTCTCGCACCATCTGAAATGCCGTCTGGCAGAAAGGCGAACAACAGCCACAGCTCAAGAGCTCTCTAGCACCAATAGGGACGGCTCAGATCAGAAGACCATGTCGACTGCCGTCCCTTTCACCACCGCTCCGGCGCGGCGCAGACACAGGAGCTGAGGCCCACAGCGGCGCTCCAGACCCTCTGCCATCATACCGGTCGTCATTGGGTATGACGGTCTGTCATACCTCATACGTCACCCTCCGTCTCCGACTCAACTCAGGGTGAGTCGAACACTTCAGTGCGCAGCTCGAGCAGCGCCTCGACCACGCGGTTCTGACGCATCAGGTCGAGCGCCAGGTCGGGAGACTCCTGTTCTGCCCACATCAGCGTAGGACCGAATACGATGGCCAGGTTGTGCGCGTGCATCCGGTTAAACTCCTGCAGTTCGGTCACCCTGTGGTCGAGAGGTCAGGGAAAGGTCACAAAAGGTCACATACTTATCGATTCAGGTAGGTCTTTAGTTGTTCGTGTAAATAAATAAAATAAAATACATCGGGAAAGTTACGAGCCGGTCGCATGACGAAGAAAGGTCACGAAAAACACGCATGGGATAAAGGATGAGAGTGGAATGGTATACAAAGATCATGTGACCTTACCATCTCACCATCCTCACCACTTTCACTCAGTCAACTCACTGATTCAGTGAATCACGACACACTCAGTGTGTACCTGCAGTCAAGGTACCCTATAATGACAATCTGTGGCTTCAGAGCACCCGGACCTCAGATGTCATCGGCGCCATCGGCGGAGTACCATCAACTCTCACCTAGTCACCCGGAAGCGTCGTCAGCGTATCTCGGTTGGAGGTATACCCCCTCCCCCTCTAGTGAACTGTGTCCCAGTAGGGGTATAACTCCCCCATTCACTCACCTATTCAGGTGGGCCAGCAGCGTTGCCAGTGTATCCCGGTTGGGCGGCGGTAGGGCGACTACCATCCGCCGGAAGGCAGCCACCTGGTCGGGCTTGGCCGTCAGTCCAGCGGCCCGCAGAGCCTCGGGCAGCACAGCGAACGGGATCAGAGGCTCCTTCAGCTCGCGGAAGAACAGTTTGAGTGCGCCGGTGAGCACGTGGACGTCCTCTTCGTCATAGAGTACCTGGTAGTTGTCCTGGTCCACCTGCAGGGGGCGGGGAGGGAGATCCAGGGTAAAATGGGTAGGAAGGACACACATTACACAGTCCACTATCAGACCAAAATGGCAGACGATAGTCCAGAGGTTGCAAACACTGCAGTTTTGTTGAAAACTCCAACCGGGCCCAATGCAAATCCTCCATATTAGTGAGCAAAACACAACAATCTCAACCATACAACTCAGTGGAAGTTTTCTCAAATCACAAAACCAGGTCAAAAGTTTGTCAAGCTTAGCCATATTGTAACCACACCAACTCTGACACCTCTTCAGCACCCGCTGCACCTTCCCTACCCTCCCATTCCGTCGTCGCCTCCTCACCTCACAGCGTATACGCTGCACCTGGCTCAGATTTCCCGACGCCCGGTACACGCCGTCCATCCGCAGGTGTTCCGGCTTGGCCTCAATGGCAGCGATACACTCCGTTACGAACCGAGGTACGGTGCTGTCTTCAATGGTACACAGGGCAGCCAGGTGGCCGCCGAACACCGGCTCATCTGTGGGAAGGGGATGAGAGGGTTACAGAAGGGGCGATGGGGGGAGCAGGGCGGCATAAAGAGGTTAATGAGAGAAGGGAGTGGTTATCATGAGGCAACCTCTTATATGTGGAGAAGAGTGGGCAAAATGACGGGTAATGGTAGTGATTAATCCGACATCGATTTAGAAGACACAGAAAACGTATCAATGAGATGGGCCAGTCGTCTTACAACATATAATGAGTTAATCGGGACGACGACTTGCTCGTAACACTCGAAGGGTTCGGACGTGCCCGCAGATGCCCCGCTTTCTAGTTCGCTGTAACGTAATTACTTATTTTCTACGCCGTGTGATGTATATAAAAATGTTCCTATTCTAACGTAGAATATTTTGGTCACATTTTCGATGTTTTTTAGTCATCGTTTTACACAGTATAAACGCCTAAATATTGTCAATTTTTGACCTAATTTCTAAAAAACGCATCGAGTCTGGAAAGGTTTTGCCCTTTGATTTTTCCATTTGTGTCTCGTGTCAACTATCCAAAGAAGATCCCGCTTTGGGAAAAGATAAGATGCATAAATGGATACTGATGATTCTGATTCACCAATCGAGGGCTTTGACCCCAGAGACGGAAATTGGGTCACCGCGTCGAGGAAGAAAAAGCCCAAGAGAAGAAGGGATCAAGCAACTAACGAAAATACTCATCAACGACAAACAGCAATCGGACGCAGCCGCCCATCGGCCACCACCCAGCTAACTGCCTCGCTCAGCTGCCAGGCATGCAGAAGCCGGAGTTCAAGGAAGGCCGCAATCACCTGCAGCCTCTGCGGCCAGCGCTGGCACACGTCCTGCGCCAAGCTGACCATCCAACAGGCGCGAGCTCTCTCCGTGTGGCATTGTCAGCAGTGCCTTGGCCGCCCGGCTGCCACACTGGAGCCGCCCACCCAGACGTCAGAAGCCCCACTCTGCGGGATCGCGGCAGGTTTGTCGAAACTCCGCGCCAGCACGAAGGTTATCGCCCAGATTCCGAAAGCTGCGCGGTCTTTAGTCGCCGATTCCCTGTCAGAAGTGGTGAATGAGGCAGTCAACAGTCCAACCTCATCATCATCGTGGTGGAAGTTTCTGTCGTTTGCCTTTGTTGCTCTACGCACACCCGACTCGACCAATAGCGGGGAACGGGGCCCAACACTGGCGTCACACATACGACGTCAGGTGGCCGGGCTAGACTCTGCCGCTCCGCCCTCGCGGACGGTGGAGAGGCGCGCCCCTACTCCACGGACGACTCCTGACTCTCTTGCTCGTCGAGTTGGTGCTAAGTGCGCCGACGGGGATATCCGGGCCGGTCTCCGTCTCCTGACCTCCAGCGACACCTTCGTCGACCCTAGTGCCGAGGTCATCGCCGCGCTCCGACTGAAACACCCGCTCGCACCACTCGACCAGAGCCTACCGCCACCTCCCGCGGCCTCCGACCCTCCCCCGCTCACTGTCACGGAGGAGCAGGTGCGGGCCGCCATCTTCAGCATGCCACCAGGCTCGTCAGCTGGTCTCGACGGCATCCGGCCATTACACCTACGACAGCTGCTCTCCCGAGAGACCGCCGAGTCCGGCCGGCGTCTCCTCTCCTCCCTGACGGCCCTCACCAACCTGGTTCTGCGCGGCCTCGTGCCAGAGTGTGGTCGCGACGCTCTATTCGGAGCATCACTCTGCGCTCTGAGAAAGAAGGACGGTGGTCTGCGCCCGATAGCCGTTGGAAGCGTGTTCCGCCGCCTGCCAGGACGCATCGCCGCGAGACACATCGCTGACATCATCGGTCCGGAGCTACGCCCCACCCAGCTCGGGGTCGGCACCCCGCTGGGATGCGAGGCCGCAGTGCACGCAGTGCGGGAATTTATCAGCTCCGACTCCACCAGCTCAGACACGCCGCGAGTTATGGTCAAAATCGACGTGCGTAACGCTTTTAACACCATCCGACGGGACGTCATCTTGGCCAGGATTCACGAGCGCTGCCCGGAGGTCTACCCGCTGGCCTATCAAGCCTACCACCTCCCAACACCGCTGCACATCGGGGACCAGACGGTACTGTCAGCGACCGGAGTCCAGCAGGGGGATCCTCTTGGACCTGCCGCCTTCGCACTGGGAGTCGACGCATGCGCCCGAGCCATAAGATCGCCTTTGAACGTGTGGTACTTGGACGACGCCACGATCGCCGGCCCGGCTGATGTCGTCCAGTCTGACCTCCACTCACTCGCCAAGGCTCTGACAGAACTCGGTGTCTGCAGCTGAATCCGGCGAAGTGCGAGGTAGCCATCATCGACGCGGCGCCCCAGCTAGCTCGCAACGCAGCGGTCGACAGCATTCGCAGTGTCCTGCCGGAGATAACAGAAATCCCTCTCCACAGCGTCACTCTGCTGGGCGCACCACTGCAGGACGGCAGCCTCACCGCAGCTGCCAATGGTGCCGCCGAACTCATCGGACGCCTATGCACCCGACTGACGCACCTGGACCGACACACTGGACTTTTCTTTCTCGTCCACTACGCGTCAGCGCCTCGCCTGCAGTACCTGCTGCGCTCAGCGCCCCTGTACAAGGTGGTGCCCGCGCTCAAGCTGGTGGACGAGCTGGTGCGAGAAACTCTGGTCGATATCACAAACGTAAATATCAATTACCAGCTGTGGGAGCAGGCAAAACTGCCATTCAGACTGGGAGGTCTCGGAGTTCGCTCTGTCGAGGACCTGGCACTGCCGTGCTACATATCTTCTCTGCACGCTGCTCTGCCACTCCTCCGCAGCATCTCTCCGGGGCTGCTTCCGGCCAGCGGTGTGCCACCAACCCTGCAGACAGCAATTCACCGGTTTTCTGAGGTGACAGGGACCGAACAACTGCCGCCCGCCTCAGCTGTCAGCAGCCAGCGGGCCTGGGACACCCTGTCAGCCACTGCGATTCGCGATAAGATGGTCAACTCCGCCAACCAGCTGCACCGGGCACGCCTGGTCGCCGCCAGTCAGCCACACACGGCCGCCTGGCTGCAGGCTGTGCCGGTGCCGAGTCTCGGCCTACACCTGGACGAGGAGTCGGTGCGGGTGGCAGTGGCTCTCCGCCTCGGAGCCACAGTCTGCGAGCAGCACCGGTGCCGTCTGTGCGGACGTCAAGTGGATCAGCTCGGCCACCACGGGCTCTCCTGCGTGAAGAGCGCCGGTCGTCTCCCACGTCACGCCCAACTGAATGACGTGGTGAGGCGCGGACTGGCAAGCGCAGGCATTCCCTCCATATTGGAGCCAGTCGGCCTCGACCGGGGTGATGGCAAGCGACCTGATGGCCTAACGCTGTTTCCGTACAGCGGAGGCATGTGTTTGACATGGGATGCCACATGCGCAGACACATTTGCCGACACTGTGCTGATTCAGACCGCCCTAGAGCCTGGTGCCGCCGCTCGGGCCGCAGAAGACAGAAAACGGCGCCACTACTCAGAAATCAGCTCCCGCTTCAAGTTCGTGCCCATCGCAGTGGAGACCTCCGGAGTACTCGGCCCCGCCACCTCAAAATTCATCCGCGAGCTGGGCCAGCTTCACCACCCGTACCGGCGAACGACGCGAGACAGAATGGCTATTACAGCGTCTCTCGATCGCTGTTGTGCGAGGCAACGCCGCCGCGGTTCTCGCCACAGCCGCCACAGACCGGGCGAGGGCAGACCGCCGACAGCAGCCACCACCAGACGTGACAGGGGTGCGCACCCGGCCTTCGCCCCCTCCGTCTGCGACGACCGGCCGAGCCTCAGCAAAACAGACAGCAAGTCAGGCCTCACCCGAGTTCTTAGCTGACGAGCCGCTCGCACTCCCGTCGGAGGAGGCCTCTGCACCGCCCAACACCAGACTGTCTCACCACTCACTGCCCGGCAACCCCAGCGAAGACGGCGGCGGGACTGGCAGTGAATCTGACGGCAGACCGCTCGGTCTCACCGGCCTCAGGAACACGGGCAACACCTGCTTCCTGAACACAGTCGTCCAGTGCCTGAGCAACACACGCGCTCTCCACGATTACATCCTGCGCGATGGACGCTCCTCAGATGCCAGCATGCCTGCCGCCGCTACGAAGGGGTCCCTCATGAACACATTCAGCGCTCTGATACGCGACATGTGGACATCCTCGGACGAAACGGAGCGGGTGCTCACCACCGCACCACTCAAGTCGATGATCCAACGGCTCGCGCCGCGCTTCATGGGCTCCCAGCAGCAGGACGCGCAGGAATTCCTCAGATATCTGCTGCAGGGACTTCACGAGGACGTGAACCAGGTGACGAGCCGGCCAAAGCCGATCACGACCGACATCGACGACTCACTGAGCGCCAGTTAAAAGTCAATGGAGGCCTGGAAACGTTTCTTGCGCCTGGAAAACTCCAAGTTTGTTGACCTGTTCGTGGGCCAGCTCAAGGCTACCCTGCGGTGCACGGTATGTGGCCACGCACCGGTTACCTTCGACCCGTTCTGGGATCTGAGTCTGCCAATCCCGTCACGAAGTGGCCAGGTGCGCCTACAGGCCTGTTTTGACCTGTTCACTAAAGAGGAGGTGCTCGATGGCGACGAAAAACCGACCTGCTCAAAGTGCCAGAAGCGCCAAAAGTGCACCAGGAGCCTCTCGATCCAGAAGTTCCCTCGTATCTTGGTGGTCCACCTGAAGCGGTTCTCGCCGCAGGAGAGGTTCCGCGGGAAGCTGAACACCACTGTCGACTTTTCGGTGAACGGCCTGGACCTGTCGCCCTACTCGGCCGGACAGACGCCCTGCCGGTACAGCCTATACGGCGTGGCGAACCACTCTGGCACGCTGCTCTCAGGACATTACACCGCTTACTGCCGACACCCGTACACGGCAGAGTGGTACGAGTACAACGACTCGCGGGTCCACGTGATGGACCAGAGAAACGTCAACAGCGGAAAGGCTTACGTGCTGTTCTTTGAGCTGGCCGGCTCGAAACACCGCTCCGGCTCGACCCACGTCTAGTCATCCAGTCACGGGAGAGGAGCCTGCGATCGTCACCCGCTCGGGCCCTGTGTAGTCACACCGACCGGCGCACATTCTGCTCGGACAACTCTAGCCAGCGGCCTATTGTGATTTGTGATATTGCGTGTAAGGTGTTGTGAAAAACCAGAACAGCTTTTGGATCTCACTGAAAACATTATACGTTAATCGGGACATATTGGCGTTACCAGATTACACAAAAAAAGCCACCAAAGCCGTAAAAATGCACCTCTTTCACCGCATAAGTCCACAACACAGAGTCCACCACCACAGCGGTGCAAAAGCTGCTTACCGCAGTAACCATTCGCCAATCAGCAAACTTGCTTGAATGGTGCGGATACGTAACATAAAAACTGAATAGATAAGTAGTTCTCTCGACCAAATAAGTAAATTGAACTGTATCTGCTCAGTGTCATATCTTAGGTCCTGCATTCTTGACAAAACTACAAATGCAATTATGAAAGGAAATGCAGCCACGACAAAAAAAGAAAGAAAAGAAAAAAAGAAAATACAATGAAAGCGCCAATGATCGTCACGCCAAGCTGAGCCTGGATCAGATGATGAGACATCAAACGGTGGCAGTTAGGATTGTCGCCAGTAGCGGTACGCCGTGTCCGACGTCAGTGAACTAGGAGCTCGGCAGGAAATAGAATACACGCAGCGTGAAACATTCATGAGTTGTGACGACGCCACAATACCACTCAGGCGGACCCGGAAGCATGACTTTATGCCACACCAAGTATAGCTTACACAAATAGCCGCATCAGGTTGAATAGTTAAAAAAAAAAAAACTAAAAGCTTAGGTACACGAAACAGCCACTGACACCGATGGAGCAGCTAGCTCATCGAATAGCTCACGCACATAGCGTCCTTCGCTGCTCGATAAAACACGGCGAAAACTGCACTCCACCAACTCAGTGCGGCCCCTGCTGTGCAGCACTCAGCGTGTTTGGTACAGCCTCTCCTACCACAGACCTACCTTTGAGAATGCCCCGGCTGACCAGAGAGTCTGCCGGTGGACGGGCGCGGAAAAAGCGCCTCAGCCTATCTTTGATCGTGCTATTATCCCTGGAAAGGTCCTCCTGGCTGTCGGGTCCGGCTGTGACTGTAACACATGTTCACCCAGACGGCGGAGCAGGGGGTTAGTGGCGGCGGAGCAGCGTGGTGAGACCGGTTAGCAGCGAGGAGACATATAGACGAGGACAGACAGACAGACAGACAGGCCGAGACGGTCAGACGGTCAGACGGAGACAGAGCAGCACAGAGCACAGTAATTAGACGCCCCAAGCATTATTTACAGTGGCGATTAGGTCAGTGACAGTCAGTGGCGGTTATAATGTAGAAATAACGGGTGACTTCGGAGGACACCAGCCAGCGTTAGGGGTGGTTAAAACCAGGGCTGCGGAGTCGATGGATTTTCGGCGACTCCGACTCCGACTCCGGCTTTCAAAAACCAGCTCCGACTCCGACTCCGACTACGGGCAGAATTGTCGACTCCGACCGACTCCAACTCCCGACTCCGACTCTGCAGACCTAGCAGGGCTGCGGAGTCGACAGATTTTCGGTGACTCCGACTCCGACTCCGGCTCGGGTTTCTAAAATCGACTCCGACTCCGACTCCGGTCACAACTGTCGACTCCGACCGACTCCGACTCCGACTCCGACTCCGACTCCGCAGCCCTGGTTAAAACTGAAGGCGAGGAGACAAAATTAAGCGTGTGTAGGGACAGCAGAGCCGCAGGGAAGCGAGGCAACTCTGTGATGTGTACGCTAAGACGCTTACGATGGGGGACGGCACCAAGGGACATCCGTAAACCCGTAATCAGTAAATACGGAGCGGATCATGTTAGGTTAAACATAGGTTACCTGGGCTGACACCACGGGACAGCATGCCACTTTGGGAGTACGGGGCTGGGAGGACAAACTCCGCGAAAGGGTCTTGACCAAAGACACGACCGATTAGGTCGATCACGCCACTCCACCCTGTTATAACTTAACCCTGTAATGAGTCCGCCTGACCGGATCTCTCCTAAAAAAGCTGTTACTCCCACCACGGATCCACCGAAGTCAGTTAACCCGCCAGGACAGCCGACATCCCACTGGTTGCGCCAGGCGCCATCCCGCCGCAGCCAATACCCAGCAGCACCACCCACAGTACCCACCGCGACCAGCCGTTTGATCCACCGTACTCACAGCGCACAGAGCGGGAGCGCGTCAGCCGGTCGTCGGCCGTCACATGGCGCGGCACGGGCAGCTGGTTGGTCGAGCACGGCACGCCGGCGATGGCGCGCTTGATGGCGTCGAACCAGTGGTTGGCCGTCAGGGCGTCATCGTCCTGCAGCAGCAGCTGGAAGGAAGGGCAGAGGGCCGGTGAGGGGAGGGGAGGGGCAGAGGCCGCGGGTGACGGAGGAGCGGAGTGGGGACACGACGACCCGCGCTCACATGCGAGGTATAAGTCGGAAATGTAAACGCGTTGTCAAGGAAAATACATAATTTTGATAGCCGTAGATGTAAAATAACACTTCAACTAAGCTGCTTTCTTTTCCTTCATCCCGCTTCTGGAATGAGCTGTCTTCCAATACAGCTAATCAATCAGCTAAGTAAGATATCATCAATCAGTTAGAATCAGACGATCCATTCAAATCAGACATTCTTTTCTCGGAAAAGCTGACACTGCCCTGCCATCTGACACTGAGTACCACACGCCATCATCGTCCCCTTACCCTCAGTCCGGACACGGTGCGGATCTGGAAGACGTTTTTCCGTGAGGAGGCCTCCCTCTCCCAGTCGACAAAGGCCCCAGCCAGGTCGACGTTGGTGTCCGGTCGGAGTCCGGCCTTACCCCAGTGTGGCGGCTGCAGGGGGGGGAGGCAAATCAGACCAGTCACACACAGTCACACACCCGGTACAGTCCGGCCTTACCCCAGTGTGGCGGCTGCGAGAAAGAACACCATACCAGTTAGTAACACATTGTTGCAAATGAAGACAATCTAAAGTAAAGACCGGTGTCAGGCCCCAAACCAATATGACTACTGCAGGCACACAAACAGTACATACGCAGCCACACAACTACAGTAGGAACACACTGTTACGTACAGAGTCAGCCATTACAGTGGAGGGCGGTTTCTAACCTTTACCCCAGCCTGAATGGCGAAGGGAGCACAGCACACCACAGTAACCCATCACAAGGGAAGGGAGCACAGTCCACACACAGTAAACCATCACAACTGAACAGGATACGGTGTTAAACATATTCGCCCAGACCGACGGCTGAAGTCACCACCACGCACGTACACGTTACACATGGTTATCTATATAAAGTCGGTCCTCACGTCAGCCAATGACGCGAGTGCATTCAGTAGCAGATTCTCCGACACGCAGGTAGAACATATTCAAGTCAGTGGGTGGTACACATGCAGTAGTTGCAGAGTGAATATTGTGCAGATTTTATATGCCACACCACCCCACAAACATTAGGTATCGCTAGACACGAAAACCCCAACCCAAGACATCCATGTAGCTATCCAAAATCCACACAGTATGTGCTTCACGAACAACACTTCCGACATAAAGACCTTTTCACGAGATTTCATCTAATGCAGTGTCGCTAAGAGAAAGAAGAAAACGAAAGAAAGAGAAAAAGGCAGAGATATAAAAATTAAAGAAAAGCACGTAAGAAAGTGAGAGAGTGCGAGAGAGAGAGAGAGAGAGAGAGAGAGAGAGAGAGAGAGAGAGAGAGAGAGAGGGAGAGAGAGAGAGAGGACAGACTCACCATGCCTGCGTTGCTGCGTGTGTCTTTGAAGAGGAACAGCGACCGGTCCGTCAGCACCACCCGGCACGGCGCCCAGCTCTTCCGGGCCCTCCACGACGTCTCCTTGGCCAGCCGGGTGTGATTCAGCGTGCCCTAAACGGGGCCAAACACACGGCGGACGCACCCACACGGCGTCAGTGGACACAGAAGGCGATTAGCGATACAAACACTCAGCGCGGACGTCATAGACATACAGGATACGGGCGAGTGAGTCAGTCAGCGGACGGGCCAGGCGCCACCGATAGGGTAGGTATAATCGCAGGGCGGAAACGGGCCGGACAGGTTGGGGGACCGTCGAAATGCCGGGAGCTTTGTTGAAACATATACGTGAAGAAACGTGTCAAGTAAAGCCACACTGTTTACGGAAAACTCAGCAGGTATGGTCCGGGGTATTATCTACGGAAAGCAGTGGCAGTACAACGAAGTCACGGATACAGAAGCTTAACTAAGAATGACCCCTTTTCACCTATTTTGGTAAAACTTGTCACACCTGTCTTTCAGTCTTCCCTTCCCCTAACCTGTGCCGCCCGGGACCACTCCTAGCTCCCCCAGCTGAGTGTCCTCCTCTCTCACCTGGTTCAGAATGGTGTGCGTCTGGTTGCCGGAGACTGGGTGTCCTCTCTCACCTGGTTCAGAATGGTGTGCGTCTGGTTGCCGGAGACTGGGTGTCCTCTCTCACCTGGTTCAGAATGGTGTGCGTCTGGTTGCCGGAGACGAGCTGCGGCGGCGGCGGCTCGGTGGTCGGAGCCGGGGGATACACCAGAGAGCGGCCGCGCTGTCCACGGGCCACCTGTAGTACGGAGGGCACGCCGCCCACCGGCACCGGGCGCGGCGACACCGACTCCTGGAGAACAGATACCGACAGGAGGACGTCAGTCGTCCGACTGGGCGGGTCTCTCGGCAGCGTGACAGTGCAATGGCTGATCAACACCGGTTAGTTGACAGTAAACGCATCCCTAGCTGTTTGGCCAGCCTCTCGCTGTTAAACCAGCAGTACCCCGACGGTTTGACCAGTCCCTTGCTTTGACGCGTCCCCAGCGCTTTGGCCGATTCTCACCGTGTCCCTGGCCATCTGACTAGCTCCGTTCTCGGCCGACGGCAGCGTCCAGGTGGAGGAGTTGCTGCCCTCCTTGAAGAAGTAGACGTGGTCGTCCTCGTTCTGGTTACTGTACCACTGTAAAAACGGAGCCGGCAGAATGCGGTCACCACTCAGCCAGTGCCAGCATATCACAACTTTGTGATATGCATGCCCCAAAGCAAACGGCAAAAACGTCTTTATGCAAGCACATGTAGCTAATAGAATTTAACCACGCCACAAATACATGTTAACAGAGATCAAAAGCTACTGAAAAATTGCGTAGATACACTCCAACATAGCACAGAGAAGGTAAAACAAAACCAAAACAGCACGCTATTCCCTCCAACGTGCACCCTACAGTATCCCACTGTCCCGCTGATATCCCGGTCCCTGTGTTAGCGCACCCTGGAGGCTGACTGAGCGGCAGACGGATGGCGATCTCCTCCGCCCGGCCAGCGCCCCAAAACGCCCAGCTCGCGCTCAAACTGCCCGATCCTGGCCCGCACGGAGACAGCACCCGACCGGCCGACCCCCAGACGCCAGCTGGGCGCCCGCTGCCGCCCCGAACCCGGAGACGAGTCCGGCTGCTCTACGGACTCCGGAGTGGTCTGGGAGCCGGAGGTCGGGCTGGGTCTGTCGCCCGAGGAAGGGTCTGCTTCAGTATGCGGCTCGGGCTGTCTGGCTGTGTCCCGGTCTGTGGTTTTAGCCGCTCGGGGCGGCTGGGGCGGCGCCTCACACAGCGGCGAATCGAGCGCCGTGTGGAACGAGTCGGCGTCGCTCGAGTCGCTGCCTGACGACCCGCCGCGCCGCCCGAGCCGTCTCAGAGGCAGCTCCAGCTCGGCCCTGGCCCGCTCCGGGCCGACAAAATGCACCAGGTCGGCCCCGCTGCGCCGCCGCAGAGGCTCGTCACCGTCCTCAGAGCACCGGCGTAGCACGCCCTCCGGTCCGCTGTGCCTCTTCCCGACGTGTTCCGCCTCGACAGAGCGCCAGAACAGCTCAGCTGGCTCGCTGAGACGCTTCACAGGCAAACTGCGCCGATTCTGGTGCTCTGTCATGGATTTGATCTTCCGCGGGCAGTCCGCGTCGTCAACCTTTATGCGAAAGGAATCGCTCCGATCACTGGATCTCAGAAGAACAGCGTCCTCATCCTCCGCACCCCGGGTCTCCCTGGCGCAGTCGGCGCTGCCGGGCACGTCAGCCACGTCAGTCGGCGTCAGCACGTCATCGGCACCGATGGAGCCCACGCAGCCGGCGCTGCGCGGCGACGAGGCCCCGTCGACCACCGCACCGCGGTTCTGAATAGTCAGCAGAGACAGGTCCACGATGCGTGGGATGTGATCGCTGGTGAGCCTACGGCGACTGCGCAGCGCCACCGGGTTATCAGCTTCGTCAGACATGGTTCAGTTGAGAAGCGACTGAAGAGCGAACCGATCACCGACCACCGCACAGTTCAACACAACCAAAGGAACTGACGGCTAACACCGCGAGCACCACACTGCACTGTCCGGATGTCACAACAGCCGGGTGGCGCCTGACACACCCTGCCTATCAGATACACGGCCTCAGCGTCCAACCCAGCCCGGACAGTCCCCCGCGCGTCAGCCGCCAGTGACACTCCGCGCTGCTCCTTCCGTGGCCGCGCAACGGCCGCCGGCAGCAGGAAACACGATAGCGCGACTGACAGCGGCGTCAGACGGCCGACTACCCGGCGCAGCGCCGCGGGGGAGTGCCGCCGCCGCGGGGAGCGCTGACGACCCTCACCTGATCAGGAGACAGCTGCAGCTCCGAAACGCAGGCCAGCCGGCCCTCGGAGGCGGACCGGCGCACGGCACGGTGCCTCCGCACGCACACCGCACGCAACGTGACGTCATCGTCGCACATGACTGCCGTCCGCGCGCCGTCGCAAAGTGCGTCGTCGTCGTCGACCGCGCCACTCCTCGTCGCGCGGCGGCCACGGGCGGCTCCAGGCCGGCTCCGGACGGGTGTGTGCGGGGGTCGGCCGGTCGAGATTTGACAGAGCGCCGCCACTGCTGCGCCGCTGCGCTATCGGACCGTTTCCCGGAAGGGCTGCGGGTGAGGGCCTTCCGGTGGGCTGACCGTGCGCCTGACGTGCCTCAGGAGGCGCCCAGAGCGCGGAGCGGCGGCGGACGGAGTCGGCGGACGGCACCGGTGAGTCGAAACAGCCCGACTCCAGGGCCGAGTCGGAGTCGAGCCTCCGAGACTAAATTGTACGCAGGCATTGGAAAGGGCTATCAGCTCCAGCGATTTCAGAGGCAAAAGCAACTCCCATAATTATATTTTGCAGATGTTGCACGCCCATTTCAAGCAGGCGCCGCATGCGTCTGATTTCAACTTTGCGGAACTGATTTAGTAATTGAACTATTGGGGATTGAGGTTTCTGGAACGATACATTTTTATACAGCCTATTTTTCAACAGAAGCGTTTCCAGGCCAACACTTTTAATTTAGTCGGCACACGGTTCGACACTCGGCACATGTATCCTTCGTAGGAATAGAGAAATAAGCATAAGAAAGCTACCCATGGTGATAGTCAACTTCGAATGTTTAGATATACTTTTCAATATCGCTAGTAGGCATGCACGAACTTCAAGTGTCTGGTGATTCAGCTTTGGTGTAAGGCATCTTTCCGCGTTGCATGGCGCAAATTGTTGTAGGCAGAGTACAGATGCTTGACAATGCAGCCAATTCAGTCTCTGGGCTTAACAACACATCTGGTTACCTGCCTTCAAATAGCATGTATGTACGCAGAGAATTATACAATGGAGGACGACGAAGATCAATCAAGTCACCTCAGTAGAATTTGTCTGCAATGTTTGTATGCAGAGCCATCTGCAGTGCTGCTGCCAAGGACTAGCGGCGGACTGAAGCGCCACCAGACGTCACCCTTGCAAGCCACAGTCCGTCCGGTAGCGAGACCTTCTCCCAGCACGTCCACTGTCCAGCCCTGATGGGCGAGCTAGCTGTCCCAGCACCTAGCCTATTGGGTGAGTTGCTTCACTCGGCACCTAACCTAATAGGAGAGCTGTCCCACCAAACACTTACCCTGCTGGGCGACCTGTCCCACCCAGCACCTGCTCTGGTGGGTGAGCTGTCCCACACACTACCTTCACTGATGGTCGAGTGGTCCCTTCCAGCACCTACCCTGGTGGGTGACCTGTCCCTTATGGCACCTACCCTGGTAGATAAGCAGTGTCCGCTCCAAACACTTACCCTGGTAGGCGAACTGCCCCGCACGTAGCAGAGTTCTCCGGTTGAGTCAACGCGTCGCCTCCAGCCGGGCGGCAGAGGTACCAGCGGTACATCCACCTCCAGTACCGGGGTACCGGCCTCGGCAGTGGGGCGGGATGGGTCACCGACAGTCTTGTCCGGGCTGGTGGCCGGCTGCGAACACAGGGCGACGGATCGGTTAGATAGACTGAACAGCTGGGAATTGGCCGATATATAGAAGCAGTTTAGTCTCTAGAGGGTCAAGCAAAAGTCAAATAAGTGAAGTCTACACCAGGCATAAAGTAAAACCTTAAGATTCCATTTATTGGTCTGCCTCGAACAATCACAAGCAAAATAAGCGCAATAAAATGCACACGTCCTTGTCGTGACTCACGTATATGAATGCACTAATCAATTAATCATAAACATGAAGTGGTTGTGATTAAATTCCCGCGCAGCACTGCAGGTATTTATTGTGATCCCATTGTGCGATAGCCGACAAAAAGCCTCTACCACATAGGACGGAATCGATTACATACATTCGTACACATTCATATAAAAACTTTTCAGCACATAGGCCTATCAGAAGCAAATATCGTTAAACAATATAGCTAGTAGCTACGCACATCAAACAGTGTTCTTTCACAGGAACCCTGCACAGGGAGCTTCTGCACAGGGAACTCATTAGAAAACAAATTCAATGACCCTGACTTTAAGTGCACACGTCCACACAAATTATACACTCATATTGCCGTTTCACCCTTCCCTATGCGATATATTGACAACTAAAGTTCCATTAAAATAGCATGTGGCCTTGTGACAGCACCAATATCATGTTAGCCCACACCATTCACCCCGCTTTCTATTTGTTTTGTTGGGTTTGGCCCTTTCCGTCTGACGAGACCATTTCAGGGCTGGAAGGATGATAGGAATTAGGGGGAGATATTGGTCTGGGCGAGCACCCTGGTGAGTCGCCGGGCCTGAGCCCGTCCGGAGGGCAGGCCGACCAATCCCCCAAGCGCTCACCGCACCTGGCTACGGGCGTGCTCTTACGGGCATTCCCGCATGGGATAAAGTTACCCGGCCAGCCCAGAACAGAGGGTTAAGGCGTGGAGAAGGATTAGACTGTCCTGAGGATGGTAACGACGGAACGGTGACCACCCCGCTACCGATTCTACCACCACCTCTCACCCCAGCTGAACGTACCGACTTGACGTTTCGTCTGGGCGGCTTCCAGGTGCTGCTCTGCGTGTCGACGTTGTAGTAGTACTTTCTGCCGTGGTGCAGGTACTCGCCCCAGCCGTCGTGTAGACTGCGGATCGGCGCCTCGAGGATGTGCGGTACCGGCGGCGGCTGCCGCGACTGAGGAGGGGATATCTGTCGACACGCGAGGGGGGGGGGTATCAGTGCGACGGCCCGGAGGGGCTTCGACAGCTGAAAAGTAAGATCGATGCAGATAGTCAATTGGGCATTCATTGATACTTGAATGGATGATAAGAGCTGTGTGATTCAATGGACTGGCATCAAATACTTGCCATTCCATTGGTTATTTCGTCCGCTCTGTGCAGGTGTTTGGTGCCTGCCATTTCGTGGCCGAGGCCGGGGTGTTTTAGGCAACGCGAAACAATAGCACCTGCGACACGTAACAATTACTCATCAAATATAAGTGGGATGACATTTTGACGACTGAACTGTAAAGACAGCCCAGAAACACCTGCCCAGATTGGAAAAGGTACGATAAAATATGGCCAATATTTTCTTGACTATATTTAAAAACTATGTGAGCCGTATCTTATGGACAGGAGATAACGCTTCTCAGCTCTCAGCTCCGTGAGTCGTGTGATACGGATAGGTTGGAGAGTCTTACCTCCGTGAGCCGTGTGCGTGGCAGCGGCACGGGCAGGTGGTCCGCCGAGCGACTCAGCCCGGATCGCGGCATCAGCGGGTTGGCAAAGTAGAGCGCCGCCTTCATCTGATCGAGCCGCTCCCAGGAGCCGCTCTCCGACTCGGATCCCGCCGGCTCCGAGTCCGACCAGTCGCCGTCGTCAGGGGTGGTCGGCAGCCCGTCGGCGGCCGGCTGCAGCCGCAGCTGGAGCGTCTTGGGCGGCACGGGCGGCCGCGGCGGGCCGTCCACTCGCGGCGGCTCCACCTGGCGGCCGGCGGTCGGCCGGCGCGAGCGGTCCGCCTCGCGGTCCGGCGGCCGCCGCAGCCGCTCAGCCGTCCGCTTGAAGCTGGCGTTGTGTCCGGCCAGGTCGATGCGCGCCGAGCGCAGGTTGGAGAAGGTGCTGAACGACTGCAGACTGCGGTCGTAGGAGGTCTGTCGGTGGAGGCCCGGGGGTGACTCGGAGCCGTCCGCTGAGGGTAGCACGTCCGGCCGGGGGCCGCGCTCGGCCCGCTCCGCAGCCACCGCCTGCTCCACCGGCCCGGCGACGGTCCGTGTCAGCTCGACAGACGCAGACTTCATTATAACACCACTGATGGGAGCGGACCTGTCGCCACTCGTCACCGTCTCCCGCTCCAGGGTGGTGGGACGTTTCTGAGCGGCCGGCGGCGGCGCGGGCCGGCCGTCCTGCTGTCTGGGGCCGCCCCTGTCCCAGAATTCCGCCGTCGGCCGGCTCCTGGACGGCGCTCCATCCGACGAGCGGCGTTCTTCTGAGCGGCGGGAGCGGCTGATCAGCTTCAGCACCTCCTGCTTGAACCGGCCGTGCTCCCGTTTGGGTCCGGCGGCCTCCGTGGTACTCCCCGCCTGCTGTCTGGGCGCCGTGACCTCCACGCTGTCCACGGGAACCCGGCGAGACCCCGCACTCTCTATACTGACTCTCCTCTGACCTGCACCTTCCGCTCCCTCCCCGGCGACTCGATACGAGTCAGAACCGGCCGCCGCGCCGCCAGAGACCCGCGCCGACGCTCCGGTTATGTTGGCACTGTCTCCAGTCACACGTCCTGAGTCTGTGCTTTGAGGTGGCTCTGTGACAGCCCGGTTAGTTTTACTAGAACTATCTACACTAGGTGCATCGATTCGCCTTGGCGCTGGCCTCCTCACTCGTTCTTCGGTAGCTCGCTGCCTGGATTCGGGCCGCACTGACTCTACATTTACCCTACTAGCTCCAACACTGTCCGCACTCACTGCAGCTGCCCTCACTGGCTCTAAACTATCGACGCCTCCCGATGAGGTTCGCCTCTGTCCAACGTCACTCCCACTCTCCCCCGCCGGCCGCGGGGCCACACCGCTTACACCCGTCCTTCCATCGCTAGCAGACGGGTCGGCAGCATCCCTTACCGACGCGGCGGGCACTGCTGTCACAGGAACAGGCACGGGCGGCGGCGGCGGCTTGTTGACGGCCGACGGTAGCGCCGGTCGCCGCTCAGCCCCCTCCACCGTCGGTCTCGGGGTGGGTACCGGCCGTTCGGCGGGTCGCGGCGGCCGAGGGTCCGTGCCGACGCCCGGCTCTGCTCTGGCTCCAACCACAGTCTTGGGACCGGGCCCAGGATCGATCGCCGCCGCAGCTGATGGCACATTCACAGCAGAGGTATCGGGTACGGTCACCGTCGCAGCCACTCTGTCGGTTTTCACCACGGCTGCTGTCTCCGCCACCGGCCCGGTCACAGTTCCCACCGCACTACCAGCCACAGCACTGGCCACAGTACCAGCTGCAGCACCTGGTTCAGCGCTCAGCTCAGCGATTGATTCAGCGCTCGGTACAGCACCCTGCTCAGCTCCAGCTCTGCTCCTATCCGCCGTCGCCGCAGCCGCAGCAGCCGAGGCCTTCTTATCTGGTCGTTTGTCCGGCGGGGCCCTGTGTCTGCCGTCTAGACTGGCGGTGCTGGTGGCGGCGGCCGGCGCCGGCGCCGCCTCCGGCCTCACCAGCTCCCAGGTCCGGCTACGCTCGTCCACCGACCAGGACTTTCTGCGCGCCCACAGGTCCTTGGAGATGCGCGGCCGGCGGTGTCGAGACGGCGGCAGTCGCGGCGTGGCGCCCCTCCCGGGAGTCGTGTCAGACTGTCCACCGGCCGCCGCAGACAGCTCTGTGGCCTGCGGCGTCCCTCCAGGCGCCGGCCGACTGACCGGGGCCGGCGGAGAGTCGTCGAGCGTTTCCACGCTGGACGAGCCGGCGGCGGCATCCTCCAGGGAGTTGCAGCGCCGCCGGCCGGGCGTCTCGTCACCGGGCGCGTCATCCTCGCAGCTGATGTGACGCTCGGCGTCAGTGATGGAGAGCGGCGCCCTGACGGACGTCAGCAGCACGTCACAGCGTCTTACGGGGAGAATGGAGGGTGGCAATAATCGGCGTCAGATAGTGAGTCACTCGATACTTAGCCATTTAGTTAAACAAATAGACAATCTGACGAGTACATTAAAGGAAATAGTTCACTTTTAACATGGGGTTTTGAGCTGGAATAGCAGTTTCGTAGCTTGAGCTGAGACTAGCACAAATCAGGAGTTTTTACGGCTCAACGATCACCCTAGACGAAGATATTCCATTTCTCGTTTCGAAAAGAGTGCCTTGTAGAAGAATGCGTGCCTTGCACAGGAATGCAGCCACGTCATCGTCAGCCAATCAGCGTGCTGCTTACAGCCAATGCAGTATGCGTAGGTTTGAGCTACGCAATATGATTGGTCAATGCGTAATAAGCTTCCGCGTCAAACATTATTTTACATATAATATAGTTCGTCCTATATTAAAATATAGAAAATAATTGTTTTTACAAAAAGGTTTTATTTTATTTCATGATTATTTTGAGCATAAAAAATCATAAATCAATAGCAAAATACTGATTTCAGGAAAGTGGACTGTTTCCTTTAACGTAATGTTCCGACTGGCCCCAAGCTGAAGAGACAGCAACCAGTCACGAAGACGCGACTAATGTAACAGGACATAGCACACAGATAAGTGTCATGATTGCGCAGACTGGGCTGACATTGCATTCGCCTGGTGGGTTGTTGAATTTATTGACACTTACCAATCAACCGAATCCTGGCAGCGAAAAGAAATGTGCAAAAGGGTAATTCGAGTGGGAATAGATTGACATTGAGATTCTCCTCCGCTATTCGCATCACTTTTGCACAGTCAATGAAAATGAGAGTGCATGCAACTAACAAGCGGTAGTCATACTTGCTCACAATGGGTTCAAACATCGGTAAAGGACCAACACCTCGGCAAAAAGAGTTAGAAAGTTAGAAAAATACTTCCTGGAACTTGACAGGGCGATCTATACGAGTACATGAATATCACTGATCAAGGACCACCACCAATGTCATTACGTCCCACCTTACGAATTGGTTTAGAGTTCCTGCCACCAAAACAGCAAGCTGGCAAGGCCAACCAATACCTACTATAATATTGCCATGACCAGTAGCAATGAATGTATTTTCTCCCCGTCACCATTTACTCACCTCCTGCTATCGCGGGCATTGCGTTTGACCGGTTTGACTTTGGGCGGCAGCTGGGGCCGCGGTCGGGGCTGGACCTTCAGATACTGAGTGGGCGCATAGAACGGCTTCCTCTCGCCGCTCCTAATCACCTGTAACACGAGCCTGACGTCAGTTCTCTTATTTGAGACACACCACACAGCTGATCATCTGTGATGCGAGCCCAACGTCAACGGTTCGATTTCCGTCAACCGGAATCACATAAGGAAAAAGGCGAGAACACTCCTAAAGCTGACGATCACGCAGCCCCCACTCAGCTGTAAAAGGATTAGTATGGGACAGTTGATATTGATGGCCGCACTCCCTAACCAACCCAACCATTCCTCAACTACAACTAGAGCCCCCCCCCCCCCCCCCCACCTTACTCAACACCACGCCCATACAACCCGTGCCAAACAGCACAGCGGCAACCCGTGTATCTCGGGACAGTTCGCCGTAGTTAGCTCTAACCAGGGGCTCTAACGTTCACGGTAGAGTTGCAGGAATTAGCGCCACCCGCCCGCCGGCTTTACCGGGAGCGTCGCAACGGGACGTGACAGGCTAATCTGGCGTGTTTACTAAATCCGATCATCTGCGGGCCTCTCTGGCCGTGCAGGATTCAGCCAGCTGACGGAAGGTGAGTTCAGCTAGCTCACAGGAAGGTACGAGATCAAATAAAATGGCCCGATAGCGGCCGCAGGTGAAGCGAGATATCTACGGAATCTATAAAGCAGTGGATTATTAGCGAGGAATTACAACTAAAATAAGCCATAGACACCAGACAGAACAGTGCAAGAGGAAACCAGTCCACCTTATCTTATGTGTTGCCTGAGTCCCCACAACTCTTTCGTCATCATAATGAGGAAAATTAGAGGAAATACCTGCTTGAAAGAGTACAATAATAACCTCACTGAAAAACTAGAGCATTCATACTAAAGCTTAGGCAACATCACATCTGGACTGTTGTATGAACTGTCATCATATCTTGAGATACATACCGGTATATGAATAGGGGAGGGGGGGGGGGGCAAATGAGCAAAGCAACAAAGAAAACTAAGCACACACCTTTTCTATGCCCACACGTAAAAAGCAAATCAATCAAGTGGTGCAGCTAACATCTTGCAGTTCAGGGTTGGTGATTTACCTGCCACCAGTCGCTGTTGGTCTGCTGTATGACCAGAAACTCCTCATCCTTGTGCATGTGCACGCGCTGGCCATCGCTGGAGTGGTACTCGAAGTCGAACAGGACCGTCACCACCAGGTCTCTGTCCATTGACGGCGCCTGTCCGGTCACAGAGACGGACACGGTTAGTACAGACAGGTGGACAGTCAGTCCAAACAGGTATGGAGACAGCCATCGGCCATACACAGAAAGGCAGCTTAGGTACTGCCAGCCCACAGCTACGAGACAGCCACCGCGAGACGGTTACCCCGAGACAGCTGCCGCGAACAGACAATTAACATGAGAGAGCTAACGCGAGACAAATCTGCAAAAAAGCACGAGAAAGCTTCTGTAAGCTGATGATTTGCCATCACAAGTAGCCATCCTCCAAGATAACTATGAGAAGAAGTGCTTTGATAAGCATTTCCCTCAAACTTTGATCACAGCTTGCAGAGTATGAGGAATAGCCCTGCATCCTCACAATGGTCCTTGTGAACAGATGTATGCAGCCAGTTAAACTAAATTTTATCATGGGAACACAATATGTACAGGATTGGAGTTGCAAGATAGTGGATCTCTGCAGGCCAGATAGCCACCAATCCAAAGTCTCAAATATTCGCACAACATCACAGCAATCAGGTGATCAGTGTACATATATTAACCATTTAAAAACCTATTCAGTCTATTCATTTCACAAGCAGATTGTATGAACACATGATTACCATGTCCTTCCACAAGGACATGTACCAGCGGCTCAACTCAAGTTACAGGTGCCGATTGCTGTCATCGAAAACAGCATTAGTCTGTAGCACAAACAAGGGAGTAGCGGACAACTATGCAAACTTTGAGAAAGATGATAATGCATACCACCCATAAATTCAGCACACCCAGCATGTCTTGGACTGATATAGCACAATAAAACACCTTATTTCTTCATTTAAATTCAGAACAAATAAATGTGTTCAATGTTTTGCTCAATAACATAGACCAGAGACAATGCATTGGACCTAAGTCCAGAAGTGTGCTTCCTGAATAAGCCAGGAAGTGCCAACAACTAGCCATCCATATGATGCTGTCATGCAGCTCACTTCTGATACGGAATTACACTATGTTGTCTTGTAATGGCACCACAGTAATTTCTTAACTTGCACTTGATATTTGATTGCTAAGCTTAACTTTCCATGTAAAAACTATACATTTTAATCAATTCATAACTTGGGTCTAGGGATGAACAGCTTCAACAGAAAAAATCAACTGCTTCAATAGGATTAACAGGATTATAAAATGTTATTTTGTTCTACCACAAGACTGGCTTTAATGCTTCAAAGTGTTTGTGACAGCAAATACATTTCTGACATGCTTTTTTTGTTGTTGTAAAGGTGCTTTGTAGCACTTGTTTTTGATGATTGAGACTAATAGCCTATAGAGTGCATCAACAGTTTTGATACCTTACAAAGTGTCCGGTCCCTTCCTTTCAGTAAAAATAAAGCAACAGATTCATTACACCGGTCCATATATTCTCCATGAAGCTGGGCACAGCGTGAGACACCAGCTGGTATGCTAGGCACAAAGTTCTGGAGATGCTAAGGGCTGATGTTTGCCTCACATCCTCTTGACTGCCTTTTCGACTGCTGTCCTGGGCACTGATCACTGATTGGTCACAGTTTTTTATCAGCAGGCTGCGAGCATGCTGCTATTTCTTGACTCCTCATTGGTCAAGCACACGTGGTCTATTCATTTAACCAATGAGAGGCCAAGAAGTGGCAGCAATAACTCCCTTCTATGGGAAAACCTACAGCATGCTGACAAAAAACAGCGACCGAACAGAGCTCTGGTTTGCTGGGAGGTTTGTCGGTATTAGTATATATTAGGTCCGAGTGGACAATTGTGACGCTGTTGATACAAATATGTAACAGCAAAAAATTTAGGTTTTAGGTTAGGTTAGGTTGTAGGTTTGTAGGTTTTAGGTTAGGTTAGGTTGTAGGTTTGTAGGTTTTAGGTTTTAGGTTTTAGGTTGGTAGGTTTGTAGGTTTTAGGTTGTAGGTTTGTAGGCTGTAGGTTTGTAGGTAAATAGGTAAGGTTAGGTCAGGTTTGATTATGTTTTCCTTTTATTTCCAGGACATATAAGTATCATTTTTGGATTCAGGATGTCAAATAATGTAAGAATATGAAAACTTTATATTTAAACAGTCACTCGGACTTAATGTATACTTTTACCGGTTTGTCTGGTTAAGCTCCTGTTGCACAATTGAAGGGACTAACTGTGTGCAACTGTTAAGTGTTAGATAAGTGCATTGTAGAAAGTTATGATACCAATCAGATCAGCACAAAGCCACAAACTACAATGAAAACGTTTGGCTGTGTCCAGTGTCAGACTCTTCGACCCATATCATGATATTAAAAATAAAATGTGCAACAATAAAAACAGCCTTCATTTTGTTTGTAAGCAAATCCTGAGTTTACAAAAAGGCTCATTCAAAACTGAAACTCATGCAAAGAAAAGGCCAACAAATGGCCTATAGGTACCAATATTGACTACTCCCAAAGCTCAAAAAATAAAAATAAAACAAGTCAAAAACACAAAACTTGACAAATTGACACCAGAAAAGAGCTGAAAATAAATAAAATGACTAGACATTCATACTGAACGAGGGGCTCTGGTATTAACTGGATAATTCGCCAGCTGACGCCGTATGGTGGCGCTAGTGGAGCAGCACCATATGACGTCAGCAGAAAACACCGTGAGCAGCTATGAAATGGGAGCGAGCACCACGGAAATATCGAAAGGTGATGGACATGTACTGACTTTGGTCATTCAAGTACCACCAACACCATACAAAAACCATATAATTTCATCTAGACTGATTCTGGAATCGATTTGTTCGGGTATTTAAAACACATAAAAAATGTTTCTTACCAAATTCTGAAACAGTATAAGGATATTCTTGTTCTTTACTTTTACCTTGTGGAGTACTTTTACAATACCTTTTACTTGCTTTCTAGTGCGCCCATCACTATCTTAAAATCTGGATTGCAACGCTGTAGGAAAACTTTTTTTCATTTGTCATTTCTTCCACTTTTTAGCAGTGATAATTTATTTGGTTTTATACATTAAATAATGAAGACGGCTCCTAACTTTTTAGGGATCTGCAGTGGCCCAGAGAGCAAAATCAGATATTTCCTAGAAACTTGAGGCCACTATTTTCTTATATGGTAAATTATATACAAATATTGACATGTAAAGAATGATACGGGTGTATAATTCTGCAGAAATATAAATTCCAAGCATTTAACACTTTTCAAGAACCTTTTCAAAATCTTCCATCATGACTTCTTTCAATACAAGGTGGAAGCAATTTCAGTTAACAATAAAGCAGCACAAGGCAGTACATGGCAGTACCTTGAGCTGCGATGATCCATAACCAATCGGCACCTGCAATTTGATCTTCGAGATGTACCCTGCCTCTGTTCCCTGACTTTCCCTTTTCGTTGTACCGGGTGAAGTGAATATTCTGTGAATATTCTTCTTGCAGTCAGTTTTTAGTCCTACATTATGTTGTCAATCAGATTTAATTGGTTCAAAAACCGTCGTAGTCCGTCTCATTCGCAGTCTACATCTCCACATGCGCACCCATACATGCTAAAAATTTTCACTACGTATGTACTATGTACCCTGCAGCGTACCCTGATGAAAAATGTTTTGTTGAAATCAGACACTTCCCAAGGTAGGCCATAGTCCATGGCCATATATTTAAGTCAAAACAGATGAAACAGATAAACACAATTCCAATCATCAAGTCAACCAGCATCGACAATCTGCACATAAGTTCTAAACCTATTGCAAGACTACTTTGTATTCAAGCTTTGTATTGCAGAAGGGTGGAAGCTGCATGGAATTATGCGACAATTTCAGCGTGCATCCACGCTCGAAAGAGCAGGGTTAATTGTAACAATACCATAACAATAACGTAATTGTAGGTGTTGTGATTCGGTTGTCTCTTGTCTGTGCTGGCCATTGCGCGGGGGGTCCAGCGGCGGAACTCGGCTTCGCCGCCGTGGCGCGCTGGCAGTTGCTTCTTCTTCTTCTTCTGCATCCCACCGCCAACCCGCTCAGGGGGGCGGCGGGTCGAGCGGCAGCTCGGTCCGCCCAACATCCTCGATGAAGGTGACGACCTTCGTCGCCGGGCCGCCGAGGACGTCGACCAGGCGAGGGTCGACACCCCAGCGGCGGCGGCGGGCCGCCTCATAGGCCGGACAATCGGTCAGTAGGTGCGCCGCGCTGTCGGGCTCCCCGCACGCGGGGCATTCGTCGTCGGCTGCCAGGCCAATCTTGTGGAGCGTGTCACGGGTCAGCGGTGATGTGCCGGTCCTCAGCTGGGACAGCGTCACCGTGACCGACCCCCAGCGCGCCAGGGAGTCGTGGCCAGGCGTGGGGTCCGGGTGCGGGTGGGCAGCGGTTGCCCTCTGTCGCGACAGCTCCCGGACATGGCGCGTGACGGCGGCCCGCGCACTCGACAGGTCGATCGGTGCGCTGTCTTGGTCGCCCGCCGTGGCCTCGCCAGCCAGGCGGTCGGCGGTTTCGTTGCCGTCCAGCCCGGCATGGCCTGGCACCCACTGGAGCACCGTCTCGGTGCCGTTCTCGGCGAGGGTGCTCAGCAGCCTCCAGACCTCGGCGGCCAGGGCCATGGTCTGGTTAGCTGGGCCGCGGCCGAGTAGTTGGAGCCCAGACCTTGAGTCGGTGAGGAGGCGGACCGACTTGATCGATGCCAACTCCCCGTCCTCCAGGCCGGCCACAGCCGCGAACGCCTCGCGCATGGCGGTCAGTTCTGCTCTTAGGCTGGAGCAGACCGCCCCTGCAGGAGCGCGCACGGTCTCTTCTCTGTTGAGGTGGTGGAATTGGATCAGCGCGCCTGCGCCGCCCTGTTCCGTCCCGCCGCGAGCCGAGCCGTCCGACCAGATAGTGACGTCCGGGTGCGGGAGCTCTACAATGGCTCGCAGGGCAGCTTCCCTGGCGACTGCAGGCGGGTCCGACCGGCGGGTGGCCACGGGTAGGTACACCCTGAAGGTGATGCCGCCGCGGTGGCCCAGCCATGGCGGGTCGCAGCTGTAGAACGCCGAACCTGTAACGCAATAGAATTGCAATTGTAACAAAGACCTGCATGGTCAGCACACATCTGCAGTGACTGTCATCCCAAGTTGGTATGAATTGGAACAAAGTTGGGTCATGGTAGCAGACGTAGCACAAGCTGTCGTGATATGCCATACCGTAGGACTAGGTCGTAGGTTGTAAATTTTAGGTTTAAGGCTGTAGGTTGTAGGTCAGGTTAGGTAAGGTTGGGTTAGAAAAACTCATTCTCGTGCATAGGGCAGCTTGTGCTACGTCTACCTTACCAATACCCAATTTGAATTCCCAAAATTGATGGCAAACAGGCTTTTTGTATAACAAGTGTGGTTAAATGTTCTAATCCCCGCTGCAATGTGAGGGTAACTGCTTTTCTACAATCACAATATTTGAATTCATATAGGTAGCCACAGGTACGTTTCACATAGGTTATAGGTATTCGACCATAGCCTCTCCGATTATGCCTTTCACTCGATACGAGCGGGACCCATAGGCCGAGTGGCCTTATAACCCGATGACCAACTAAGGTAAGGTAAGGTAAGGTAAGGTAGGTGTTTACATGTTCAGAAAATGATACAAAATATGACACAATTATAGCTGCAACTGGATAGTGGATACCAACCTCAACTAAAAGTTTCTGCAGCCTTATAACCTAACACATGACTAAATTGCCAAAATAAATCCCTTAGTACAATAGCTTGACTCTAAAATAACAGAACTTTTGCATGCAGACCCTGGAAACTGGAGGGTTTATGAAAAGTAACAAAAATAAACATTCACTAATATCAATATGTTGTTATAAATTTCATATGTACCCATGAAAAAATTCCACAAGAGACCACAAAATATATTTTAGTGGTTATTGAGGTCTGTTGTGGCGTGAAATGGTTTCTTATGGTCCTAGTGGCCGGTCTAGTGGCATCTAGTAACATATTCTAGTGGCATGTGGTTGTTCACACTTTTTTAGTGGTTTGTGGACTCTAGTGGTAGCTTCCAATTGATTTTGCAACCGGGGGGTGCTAAATGATAATTGAGTTGTCATGGCAACACCGTAACAATTCAACAATACCCACTTGAAATATGAATATTTGCAGCTGCTGATTTGCAAAATGTTGAGTATCTGTCGACCAGGCTGATGATTTGCTGGAATTCGGTTCATACATTGAGAATTGCAGGCAATTATCTTACATGCTAATGACCAACTGCTTATTAATTGTGAATTCCAATCTAATCTTTTGTAGATATTTTGAATGCAGATAACAATGTAATTTGTGTGGAGCCAACCCACTGGCCATATAACAAGACACCACAAAGGTAAGCAATAAGCATCAACTTTTTTAATGGGCGTCTTTGGCTGGGAATTTCAATTTGAAAATATCTGTGATTGTCAGTTCATAGGCTGATTACATGGGCAATATGTAAAACGTATCCATTGCTTTGCTATTGGATCATTTTTGATGGTAAAATTTTGTCAGATCATTTTTTTCGTCCATTGTTTTTTCGTCAGATACTATGCGTCTTTTTGTGGTTAGGTGTTAGGTAGGTAGGTAGGTAGGCTAGGTTTCTTTAGGCTAGATTAGGGTAGGAATAGGTCTTACGAAAACACAATGGACGAAAAAATGACTAGACAAAATTTTAGCGACAAAAACCATTAAGTAGAGCCTAATAGGAAAAGTGTATTAATTGTAAGTTTGTCACTGCATCGCTCTGAGACCAGTTTTACAAACAAAAATAGCCGCCTGCTGGAATTTTTTGACCTAAAAATCGCTTCACATACGGAGCGTAAATGCGATAGGCATGTAAGCAGATAGGGCTTTACTGTATAGGTACGCTCCGTATGTAAAGCGGTCTTGAGGCAAAAAAATGCCGGCAGGCGGCTATTTTTCAGCTGGGAAAACTGGCACCTGAAACAATTTTTGTATTTTTCTTCTTTAAATTAGACCGGATTCAATGTCTCCCGGACTACAAAGATTACCTATGTCATTCGGCCAGTGCCGTTCGATAGCCGCGGCCCAGCCCCGCCCAACATCGAACGGCATTGACCGGACAATGTAGAATCTTTGTCGTTTGAACTATGCTGCCTTTTGCCTTTTATACCCCGCGTTCGATGTCTCTCGGACGACAAAGATTCTACGTCGTCCGGCCAATCCCGTCCAAGGTCAGCGGGGGCTCGGCTGCGGTTATGGAACGTGATTGGCCGGACGGCGTAGAATCTTCGCCGTCCGAGAGACATCGAACGCGGGGTTAATGTAAACCAAATGAACTTTTAATTCCTTTTTTCACAGCATGAAGTCCGATCCTGGCGTGCTCAAGAAGACAAGAAGTTCAAATCTGAAGAAGCATTGAAACATGTTCCCGGGAATCGGACATGCCTCATAGCCCTCAACTCATCTTAGTCATCTCATCCCCTTGCAACATGAACCTGTCCTGATCTCTTTGCAACTGGGTTCCTGCCTTCTTGGTATGATCTCTTTCTCTCTCAACATTACATTATAAATGTAATAAGTTTTGAATTTACCTAACCACCAAGCTGGTGTACAGCTGCTGTGTAACATATGGATGCATTGTTTGCATATTGGTGCTCTATTTTGCAAGTTTTATGAATACATATCATTTTCAGACAACTTTTGTGTTAGTTCCTTCCTCACATTGACAAAATTAGAGAGGTTGGGAAAATAAATGCAGCAGACCTTTCATAGATCATTCCTTTAGAATTGTCATGTAATTGCTAAGGTAAATCACTAGTCATTAAAGCATTATATGGCCTGAAACAGGCTCTTTCTGCATTCCACATTTCCCCTCTTTGCACATGATGACTAACAATTTACAATTAATGATTTCAAGACAATCCTTATGTAATGATTTACAAAAGGTCCTTCTTGCTGCATTTATTTTACCTTTCGCACATATAATAAATTGTGTGTGTTATTGTGAGGCATATTATGTCTCACAAGGACCACTAAAAACAGCAAGAAAACATCTACAGACCACAAAAAATCCACTACAGGCTGGAGTAGGTCTACTAGAATCCACTACAGCCCAATGGAGACCACAATAGAACCACTAGAATCCACAAGAAAACCATTAAGGACCATAACAATTCCACTAAATTCCACAAGAAAACCACAAAAGACCACAATAAATCCACTAGGATCCATAAGAAGACCACTAAGGACTACAAAAAGACCACTACATTACACAAGAAAGCCACTAGAGACCGCAATAGGTCCACTAGGATCCACAACAAACCCACTAAAGACCGCAAGAAATCCACTAAATTCCACAAGAAAACCTCTAAGGACCACAAAGATTCCACTAGATTCCACAAGAAATCCACTAAACCCAAGGAAAGGACCACTAAGGTCCACAAGAAAACCACTAAGGCCAACAAAAGCCCACTACATTCCACTAGCCAACTAGACACCACGGAGGTCCAAAATTTCCACTAGGATTTGTTTCAATTTCCATGGAATTCCACTAGGATTCCTAGTTGCACCACTTAAAGGCACTACACGTTTTAGATGGCCTAGTGGGAGCTTCTCTAGCTGCATTCTTGTGGTTCCACTAGAATATTTCTTGTGGATTTCTTGTGGAATTTTTTCATGGGTAGCATAAGCGCCAATACTGCCTTCATTTACAATTTTGCTACTGTTTTCCACTCACAAACGCTGCCCTCCGTGGACAGCAGCAGCAGCAGTGAAACGTCACCCGTGGTGTGACATCATCACCCATGACGTAATGGAAATCCAGTTGTTACCAAGGCCCCTGAACGAGCCAGTGAAACTGAAACCTACTTTGACTTCGACTTGTTCACCATGCTGCTGGACAGCAAGAGGGAATCAAAGAACAGGCCCGAGTTCGATGTCCATGGTATGAAGAGAGTTACCTTCTGTTAGCTGCCCACTTGAATTCATGGGATAACAAGTCCCAAGTCAATTTATTTTGACCTATCTATCCAACACAACACACATCTCTCGCCTCTCGCCAGTCTTCCGCCTTGGCGCGCCATAATTGTAGACCGCCAACATGAATGAACCTTTTATTTAGCTGCATTATTCTCTCGCCCAACGTTCGTAGCTGCTGGCTGCTATTTAGGGTAAAGAGAATTCAATTGATTGTGAAATTTTGGTGAAACTCACTCGTTCCGAGGGTCATACAATAAGCGAAAGCAAAAAGACAAGTTGATGAACAGTCGAAGTCTCAACAGACGTTTGCTGTCAACCAGATAACGGCCAACGGTGGGAGAGTCGGGGAGTGACAAATTGAATTCAAGTTTTATGGCTTTGCTTGAACTGGCATCTGGCAGGCTAATGAGAAACGCTAGTAACTCAAGACAAAATGACTCGAAAGGATTGAGGTACAACTGCAAACCACTGTTGTATCATGTAAGTAAGGCGTAAGCTGTACATTAGCGGAACGAAAAACAAATAATTTGCATTGAGTCTATTTCGTGGATAAGTTATACGAGTTATACGACATGCTTATATGTGCCTTACTACTACGTTTGTCGCAAACTTCCAGCGACTGTAGAAAAAAAAACTCCCAAACAAAACGATATATTAAGTCACTCATAAGGCAGGAGTAAAATCGCTGCCAGCGCACATGTCGTAAGACAAGACAGTTCATGTCTTCGAGACGAAGTGCTCTGACCACCTCCACAGCCGTAAACCTCTGGATCCGCCCAGTACCACCGTCAGCCACGGTGGCTTGTCAGCGAAACGACCCAACTGGGCTGTCATCATCCGCAGTGTCCGTCACCGGCAGCCGTCGTCAGCCCGGAGACAGCTCTGTCAGCTGTCACCGGGACGACCCACGAGTGACGTCATCAGCCTCGGCGTCCAGCACCGGTCGACAGACCTCCAGACGTTCTGCAGGTACAGGTGAACATGAGAAAACAAGTCAATGGATGTCATGCCAGAGGGGGGGTGGGGGAGGTATCCATCGTATACGACTCAATAAATAACACGCTGGGAGGAGGTATCCATCGTTCTGTCGGTACAGGTGAACACGAACATACGACACAACAGATACCACGCTGGGGGTATCCAAACGTTCTGTCGGTACGGAGGAACACAGGGACATCACTTTATACCACAGGGGTGGGGATAAACGTATCAGCGAACGCGAATGAATCGATGACGGCGGTACAGCTGCGGGAGTGAGAAGCTACCACGAGGATGGCTGTTTCGAATCAAGCACCTATGCAAAGGTGTCGGTCATTACCAGCAGCTTATTTATATTTTCACGTAACCATTCATTCAACGAGCTGGGCAGTAAGCGGCCTGCAGCATGCAATCGAATGGGGGAGGTGGATGTAGCTAATTCAGCTCGATAATAATCCAAGTGAAATAAATCCACCATCACTACACAGAGGCATAATGAAAGCAAACTGATACACAGCCAGCCAATATCCAAAGGTCCAAACGTATTTACGCACCTTGACAAGCTTGCAAAATATCTTGAACTTCTTTTAAGTCTTCTAAAATATTTGTCACTTCCTCCTGTGATGAGTTTGAAAAATCGTCTTCCTCCACGAAAAGCAAGTATTGCCTGCAACAGACACGAGAATTCAAATGACTACCAGCTCCGCATTACAAGGAGATTACAGATTTAAATATCTAAGCCATGGCATTAAAACTTAAAAGTAAAATTAAGTTCAATTTTTATTCAATATAAACAGATAAAAAAGCTCTCAAAATGAGGCGACATCGTTTTCGGGCGTGTATATAGGTCATACAGCCAACAATTTCACCGTTGAAGAGATATCTGAGCACTTTCAGAGCTTTTTCGTTAGATGATACGCAATAAAATGCATTTCACTGGGGTACGAAAATTAAAACGCTTTGAAAAACAAGGACGACTACCGATCGTTTGTATTGCCGTTTCAAATGCATTTTCTACTCAATACAACATGCTAAAACATATCTACCTACAAAGTCGAGAAATGACAAGCTGGCAATTTGAATGAGGTTTCCAGTGAACGTTAAAAATAGAAGCATACATACCTACTTGTGCAGCAGAACGCGTTTACACACATGTAAACACGTACAAACGGCAAAAACAACTATTTATATCGCAAATCGAGCAAACAATTCGATAAAGCGACTACCGTATAACATCACATTCAGTAAGACATGTGATCCCACACACACAGACATCTTCAACCTGCAGACCGCTGCACCAACGTTCAGTACTTACACCTGAGCGAAGGCGTCGCGGCAGTCGAGGGTGGTCTCCAGGAGAACGTGCGGCCGCGGACAGAACGGGTCGGACGACTCGGAGGGCAGACCCGGCCCGCCCGCGCGGTAGGCGGCGTCTGCGGCCGAACACTTCCGCACAACGTCGCCGGCCGCCGCACACAGCTCCCGCCTGAGCAGCAATACCAGGGGGAAGAGATGGGATCGATCGCAGCGTGTTATAATAACCGCAGACATACTGATGAAAACACAGGTTCCAAACGATCTAGGGCCATGCTTGACGAATATTGCTTCGGAAGTGAGGTCACGAGAACATTTCTAGCACTCAACTGCAGCCATGAATATCGTCATGAGATGAAACCGAAACAACCGTTGACATCAGGGAATCATATCGGCGGCGGTGCTTTATGTAATCCTAATGTCCGATGGCATGTGTTTTGAGGACAGGGATGATATTTTTGACTTGTTAATGTTTACATTATGTGCAATGCAAAAAAGCGCATAGGGAGTGCATTGGCATCCACACATACACGCCCTCCCCTTTGTCCAATTGTGGCAGCCTAGCTCACCTGTTTTCCTTCCAATGCAGTAAGTTGTCACTAATCTTTCGGGCAACGCATCCTCGTAACATCGGCAGGTACCCAGGAATTTCACTAAGTTGACAAGAGCTCACTGAAGGTCTGAAAAAATGAAATAATATGAGAAACGTTCTTCCCATAACAGAAAAACACAAAAACAGGACAAGATTTTGTGGGTCATCTTCCATTTCAAGTCAGCTTTTTGACATGAAGGCCAGGAACTGGATTCTGAGTTTGCTATTTTCTTAATGGCACCATAACAAAAACTATCTAGTGAGCTGTGAACTATGCAGCTGGAATAGAACTGAGCCAATCTGCAAAGTGTGGCTCGGCATATGGCTCGGCAAATACCTACTGCAAAGTGCAAAGTATGGCTCGGAGGTCAACGAGGCGCACCAGCCCAAGTTCATATCCACAGCGCTTCAAACAGAGCCGGAAAATCCGCACGAAAGCGGGCTGAGAATACAAAAAAAAAACGCACCGAACCCAAAAGTGACCATTCTAAGTTCGCACTGACCTCAGTCCTCAATTAATGATAAGCCTACCATCTCCGTAGCCAAGCTTGCTATCTCCGTAGTATGGAAACGAGGAATACCCGTCACATGACTCAAGCAGACAGCATGTCATGCCAATACAAGAACCATACACAGTGCCTGCCTCTGGCAATTCATCCAGGGTGATTATTGTGTGATGCACCAGGGATACCCCAACGGTGTGGACACGGACACTGCCATTTAGCTAAACAGCTTGACAACCTGTTAGGGCCCAAGTTATTAAAAAATGAACGGCAAAATGCGGACCTATCACATGCATGAGTTTTTGCTATCACTCGTTAGATCATTAGCTGTGTTGAACAAATCTAATAGGCAAATCATTCACAGCGGACTTGACTACTTGAGCCGCGGCAAAGTAGCGTTCCTCCAGGCCTTAAATCAGCCATGCGCATCTCGCCCTACCACCGAGCCACAATGCCAAACCCTCACATGAGCCGAGGCGCTTTTCGTTTACCAATGCTGCATAACGCAACAGCCTCAGATTCTTTTGACGCCACTAATTAGCTGCGGCTTACATACCCCATAAATAGTTCACGATATATTTTTGACTGCTTGAAGCGGCGGGGGCCAAAACGGCGGTGGTCTCCAAACCCTCCCATCCGGCGAGCACATTTTAAATACCTACCATCGGCCGTCCTCATCCCTCTCAGCCTACTGCGGCGCCTCGCATAGCCGAGCGGGCGCACACGCACACGCACCGGAAGCGAGTGACGACACTGTGACCGGTGACATACCCCACCCCGGCGTTGCAATGTGTGTGAACTTGGGGGAGCCAGTTTCAGTAATTAGCCTGAATGCTGATTGTTTCAACTAGCCTCTGCCTGGGTCTGGGTCCCAGCACAGGAAGACCACCAGTGCTGCTGGCATAGTCTGTTCCACCACACATTTAGACCTGGGAGCACACTGAATTACAGGGTCAACACTCCAACATTTTGTGATTTTCCTCATCTCTGCCATCTGGTCAGTCAGTAGTCACCAAACCAACTCTGTACCATGCTACACTATGTCTGCACTGCAGTCACACCAAGCCAACTCCGCACCATGCTACAGAAAGTCCGCACCACACCAAGCCAAACCCACACCGCACCTCACCAAGGACGCATCACCCGAAAAAGGCTGTAGCAATAAGATCCCATCGAAATTGCCATGCTTTGCAGACTGGGAACTAAGTGCAAAAAATATAGCACCCAGGGTATGGGCAGCCTAGCTATTTTACAGATGTCACTTGTCAGCACCCTGCACCACACGTATCAGTATAAACTTAAGTGTTGTGAGAATGACAGAGTAAATTTGGTAGGTACCTACTTTCCACTGGGTACACAGGCCAAAACATGTTCAAGTATACCTACCTACCAAGCATCAGCATGAAAACTTACGACGATAGTGCAGCCAGTTGTTCCAGATAGGTATTTGTTTGGTTCATCATCTTAATGCTCTGTTCCACTACTTCGCCAATGATTTCACATTTCGAACTCGCTGTTACAAGAGCTCCAATAGCAATCTCGACCGTTTGGGAAGCCATGATGGACGCCCGCAAGGCCACGCTCGAAACAAAACCCAGGGCAATAAAAAATTAAAAACAACCCTAAGCAACGCATCCTTCGCATGAACGCATATTTACGTCTGGACAACGAGTTGCGTTGGAGAGGCCGGAAATAGTGGCGATTTCAGGACCGCAAGAATGGACCGTCATTGGAATGATTCTTTTTGAAACCGTGCACTGTTTTCGGCCGGAATTTAATAGTTACTACAAAATATTTTGTAATACGTTTCCACCAAGAATGAATGCCATCAGGGCTAAATTTGTACTACTTTTGCATTTTGTCAAGAAGCATATAGTGCTGTTATATTGCAGTTTTTGCGCGTTTGTTACAAAATATGAAGCGAATAAGCGTCAGTGTTATTCATCAGTGCCAGAACTTGAGGGGAAGCTATGCTAATTGCTCTTGTCCATCCACTAGAAGTTATTAAATATTTTGCTTTGTGTATTCCAAAAGGAGAGGGAACTTTTTTATTTGTGCCTTCATGTCAGAATTGAAGGTGGATCATTAAATTTTCAAGGCAGTTAACAAACAAGCATTTGGTCTTTCTCGTATATAAGCAGTGGCTAAGAAGAAAAGGTTGATCAATCCTGAAGTTCAGTCATCGTACCTCAACTTGGCAGCAAGATCCCCAAGGACAGAGGTTATATTGTATACCTGTCTTGTAAATCAAAGCATTTTTGTGCCTGCAAAGGCCTAAGCTATTTGTGGTGTGCTCGGAGTGAGGCTATATGGCCGTTTTTGTTGTATGTTTATGTGGAGATTGAATATAACTGTGACCCTTTGCTTGTTTGTATACTTACTATGGTCAAACAGGGAACAGCACATTCACATAACATACTCACCTAGCACCTAACTCATAGCTGTACCCTGCAGGATCTGTACTTGTTCATGTCTCGAGCATTAACAAAGCACTAAAGTAGCTTAGTAATCATTTCCCACATTTTCTGAGCATCTAACATGACATACAGCAGTGCAGAGCAGCTTCAGAGAAGAAACACTTAAAATGCACAGACTCACACCAGCCACCCAATGAGCCAGTTCCTCAGTTGACTGTTTCCCTGAATGCAGCTTGGCAAGGTGAGCTAACTATAAGCAAGTTGAAGGTTAGCAGGTAAGATTGAGTTAGGGCGAGTACCTACCTATAACTGGGTGCTACTGCTATGCAGGTCTTGGGTAGGCTGCAAATATGTGTGACGATCGAGGTTAGGTCAGCTGTCAGGTTATTCAGGTATGCTCATTGCTCAGGTCACATTTTTATGGACACTTGGCAAATTAAAAAACTAACATAACCTAATCTAAGCTAACCCGACTAAACCTACACAACTGCTGACTATAGGAACTAAGCACCTACCTACTTGTGCCTACATCTCATACCATGTCAAAACTCAAAGTAGAGTTCCTTGGTGGAAGATTACCCTCAGTACTTTTTATCCCAGCCCTGAGCCCTGTGAAGAAAACTAAAACTTCTAAGCTCTGAGTCACTGCTGGCCATCCACAGGAAGAAATGCTGAGACTGAGAGCTTTGCCATTGTATATTGGACCAACAATCATGAATCACTATAATGAATGACTATGAACACATCATATGATCACATCGTTGCATGGATTGTCACATCGACAATTTTATAACAATCCTTTTTTCAAGAAATACAGTAATGATTAACATCAAAATCAACATAAAGTGGATTTAGTGATCCAAGCTTTCTCCTCCAGTTGCAGTAGCAATGGAATGATCGCATGTTTCATTTGCCAGACACTGAGTACCTGATGCACATTACAATCTGCATAGCATCTAAGCATAGTAAAGCTGCCAAAGTCCATTCATTCTAGATTTTTAACTTGATAGTTAGCACTAATTTATCTTGCTGTTGTAAGTTATCATTCAATATTCATACCAATACATCAATATGCGCTCATCAGTCAACATTTTCTGGCATGATCCTGCTCAGTGTGCTCTTCAGTATTGCTCCGCCTCCAAGATCTGCAATATTATAGCTTGTTTTCGGCCAATCAGCTCTTTTAATTTTACTTTTTTTGCTGATATATGAGCCCGATCAACTTGCGTTTATCCACCAAAATTTCATAACTTCAAGTTCAACTTGATATTGATATTGCTCAGGAGTCAGGACCTCTGTCAGCCTCCTGGATACTTCGGATTGTTTTCAGTCACATGCTTCTTCAATATGATATAAGTCAATCTTAAGGGATCCAAAACATCCAACAAAACGACGTACAAGAGTACGGAAACCACCAGATAAACTTAAAAAGCGCCTCGGAACAGAGCCAAGTGGTACTCTCCATTTGCTAGTTTACAATGATTGTAGTGCTGATGTATTTTTAGGACTCTGAAGGTCGGCTTTTAAAAAATGAAACGTTTTTACAAAAGTTGTAAGGCAAGTAATATTCATCTGAAAGAACTAAAATATTCAAAAGCCAAACACTATGAAATACATGAATCGGAAAGAAAAAGTAAACCAAAAATCCAGCCTAATCACCGGCTCCTAAAACTGCAACAAAATCAGCACTTTTCCCCGCAACTCGTTGTCCAGACGTAAATATGCCGCATGAACACATGACTCCTCCACGCCAACGCCTACCTCCACGCTTTTTTTTTTTTTTTTTTTTTTTTTTTTTTTTTTTTTTTTTTTTTTTAGTGGCCCCAACTTACGTTACCGGCCTCGCGAGGAGGGCGGCGACCTAACTACGCCGCGCAAAAGAAACCGGCCGTCCTAACTAAGACCGGTGGCCACTTTACTGCAAGACAACATGGGAAAACCCATATCCATGTACTATGCCATGAATATGGGGAAAAACCCATGAATTTACGTTAAGACACATAAATGACAGCGAGACTTACCGTTAAATTGATGTTTGTGAGGGGAGGGAAGGAGGAAGTTTGTAAATGGTAGGGTTACGATGTTACGATGAAAGTTGGATGATAGGAATGGTTTGAAGGGTGGAGGATATGTCGCTGCCGCTGTTGAAGGCCGATTGCTGTACCCGGGCCTGTGGTCGCCCAAACCCGGCCGCAGCCGCTGTTCAGCGACCGGGTCCGTGACTGAAGAATCCTTGGCCGCTGCTCGTCGTTACTCGTTGTGCAGTGGGTGAAGGGACAGTCCCAGAGTATGTGGACAGTCCCTTGCAATGATAGCGAGGATGAAAAAAAAAAACGCTTTTCGCATTCGTTCGGCGACTATATAGTCCTTGTAATGCGGTATGCCTAAGGTCAAGTAATGGTGCATACTTTACAGTTTGTCGGAATAAGGTGAGTTTAAGACAAAATCAAGTACTAGATCAGTTAGTGCTGGATCATCTCCGAGAAGAGTCGGAAGATCGTTTCTGAGGCGATATTTTGTAAGGTGGTTGTTGATATGTTTTCGTTCGTTGCGGAGGGCTGTGCATCCGATTAGAATGTGTTCAACCGTAATGCGTGTGTTGCATGTTTGGCATATTGGTGGGTCCGTCCTTTCGAAAAGATGACAGTGGGTGAAACGAGTATGTCCGCATCGTAGCCTTGCCAGTGTGACCTCGCGAATCCTATTTGGCTGGTTGCAAGTTGTCCAGGATGTAAGATTTTGCTTGATCGCATATAAATGAGGAGAGTGGGTTTGATTCCATTTGTTTTGTAGGTAAGTATTAAATTTTGTTCGGAGTTTGTGGCAGACGTCCCCGATCGAGAGAGGCACCCCACTAGGGTCTGCTCTCATTGCTCCTTCCTTAGCGAGGGTGTCTGCCAGCTCATTCCCTGCGATGCCACAATGACTTGGCACCCAAAGAAAAGTTATATGCTGACTTTCGTCTAGTTCTAGTAGCATTTTGTGGATATTTTGGATGCAGTAGTGGGTGACGTTATCAGTTCTTTCTAGAGCCTGAAGGGCAGATTTGGAATCGGTGCAGATTATTGCCTGTTCAATGTGAAGTGTTTGTATATGACGGACTACCGTTTGAATAGCGTGAACTTCTGCTGAAAAAATTGTGGTATGGTCTTGCAGGCGTATTTTGTATCTAATGTTCGGGCCCACGGCTGCCGCGCCTGTTTGGTTTGAAAGACATGAGCCGTCAGTGTAGAAGAATGTGGAGTCTAGGTTTCTCTGTACATACTCATGGAACAGCAGTTGGGCATCCATTGGCGAAATGTTAGATTTTGAATCGTTAAAAAGATATTCAATGGAAATGTCTCGCAGGAGCCAGAAGGGAAGCATAGGCGGTTTAGAGGCAACGTTTATTTGGCCAATGTTGAGTATCTCATGAGCCTGATTTATAATTTCGGGAAGGAAGCACGACCTGCGGAGAGGTTGCCGGGAAAAGGGTTTCCTGGCTTCCATCGCTGGAATTGCAGAATGGTTCGGAATACTTTTGGCGCGATAGTAGTATCGTAGGAAAAGGAAGAAACGGCGGTCTTCTAGTGCTGGCAGGTTTGCCTCCGTTCGCAGGGAGAGTGTCGGTGTTGTGCGGAACGCCCCGGTTATCATCCGTAGACAATTTGATTGTATGGCTTCGAGGCGTTTACAAAGAGTGGGCGAGAGTGTACTAAAAAGGTAACAGTTGTATTCGAGAGTAGATCGGATGAGTCCTATATAAAGCATTGACAACGTTTTTCTGTCCGCACCCCAGGTAAAACCTGAGATGCATCTTAGGGCGTTTATTCTTTTAAGACAACGTGTCCTGATGTGCTCTACGTGGAGTCGAAAAGTCAGATTTGAGTCCAAGATTATCCCCAAAAATTTGTGGGATGTGTAAAACGGGATTCTATTTCCATCAATCTGTGGCGATTCGTCCAAGGACGGTAGAGGTCCCCTTTTAAAGACCATCAGAGCTGACTTAGGAGCTGACAGAAAGAAGCCCCATTTCTTACACCATTGAACGCAGTGATCGATTACCTTTTGAATAATTGAAAAGGCTTGTTTATAGCTTTTGTGGGAGACCCATATTGCGATAACTTTGCTCTTGCAGAAAAACACAAGAAAATCTTTTCATCTTTTAAAAGACATATGCTCGCTCAGAGGCCTGTTTCACTAACAATAAAGTGTGTAAATACAAAGAAAAAACTTGAGTTTAAAAGAAATAATTACCAATATTTGAAATTTGGATTTCACGAAACCTTCGGGCATGAATTTTGAGTTTAAAATTTACCAACTTTTTTACAAGAAAAAAGTTTGTAAGAAACATCGAAATCGCAAACTTTCTGTTTCACGAAGACCAAAAACTTGAAAGAAAACGTTGTACTTACAAACCCGAAATTCCAGTGGCCCTTGCGTTTGGAATTTTATTACTTGTTGTGCAATGATGCAAAGCAATCAATTATTTAAAACAAATATGATATGCTGAGTCATTATATGCTCTTTTTCACTTAGCACATTCCCTACGAACCAGTTACGAGCAATAAATAAATATCGTCATGTTTTGTCATTCGCGCGCCATAATTGCATTCAACAGTCTTCTGCTGTCAAATGTTTTACGTGTTATTTTCTTTCAATAATAAGATATTGTGAATTATCATTTATACCACTCAGAAACAGCATCATTATTTTTAATTTATTCCTGCAATTTCTGACATGAAAACTAGACATAGTTTGATAAAAAGAAGCAATATCTGTAACATGTTAAAGTTCTTGATTAAAAACAATTTTACTGTTTACAAGTTTATTTACCAACTCTTTTTATCGGAGGTGCCGCTGGTGATGAAGTTTAGTGAAACCCGATTTTACATAGTTTGCAAAAATACTTATGAATTGTAAAGTTCAAACACTTGTAATCGCAAGTTTTTAGTGAAACAGGCCTCTGAAGTCAAAAACGTTATTTATCTTCTAAATATTTGATTTATCTATATTTCATAATAACATACTTTTGAAAACTTGAAGAAGGATATGAAATTTTTAATAAATTAAAAACATTTAAAACTTTTACTGAGCCATAAAAAATCATAAAGTTAAAAACTGCGATAACTGCCAAATTAAATTCTTCTTGCGAATCTGTGCCCTATGATTTGCCCATGATCACAAACAAACGGATTTGTCTTGAGATGCAGGGAGTATTTTTACAGTGAACGTATTTATGGTGTTTCGGATTTGGATCACGACCTTGTCTGTGTTAGTGCGAAAGACAAATTCATCAGCTACAAGGTGAGGTAATTTAATTAGTTTATTATCAGTGATTTTGAGTATATGCACTGCTTATTATGCGACCTTGGGCAGAGGGTTGGACGGGGGCGAGCTCCAGTCGCAGAGCATGCCCGTTGAGATCATCATAGGGGCATGACATCAGCAATAGGAGAGGCTCAGGTATGCATTGGGGTGTGACCACCAGGCACCAAGCCATTCAATCCAGAGTCCAAGCATATATTCTGCAGACTGATTAGTGATTTGTGACATCTGTTAACGGCCGATGGGTTATACAAGACGGGTAGGTACCTACGTAATAAAATAACATTTCAACTTTAATTTGACTGCTATAGCTTGAGCCCTGTTGTCTGAAATTACACTTGTAAAAGTTGTCTTCAATGAAAGTCTGTTTTTCATTGCAGCCTGGTTATAATTACAGCATATCCCTTTTTTCTTTCAGCCTAAACTTTCTAATCAAAAGTAAATTAAAAATGCCATTTTATGCAGTGAGAAGAGGATTCCAGCCTGGAGTGTATCTTACCTGGTGAGTGGGTGTAATAAAAGTTACATTATTTATATACTGCGCTGGAATGTAACATGATGATGAATATAGCTGGGGACTAGAAGTTTAATAAATGCCTGCTTATTTAATACACTTTGATATGCTAATTGAGCCACCTTTGGGGCATAGATATCGGGCCATTTTAGCACATTATGCTGCCCACATATTGTTATACCTTTATCAATCCTGCTAGTGGCTGCCCAGTAAAAAATACCATTTGAAACCATTAGGATTTACCAATTGGTTTCAAATGTGTCAAATGGTTTGAAATAGGTTCTAATGGTTTTCATGACCATTTGAAATGGTTTCCAATTGGTTTTTTTCCCAATTGGTCTGAAATGGTGTTTTCCATTTGGTCCCAATTGGTTTTGAAATGGTTTCCTAATGGAAAATAAATCCCATTTGATTTCAAATGGTGTTTTCCATTTGATTCCAATTGGTTCCAAATGGAATAAAACCATTTCATCCCAAATGGTGTGTCCCATTTGGTCCCAATTGGTATCTAAATGGTTTCCATATGGAAGAAATTCCCATTTGATCTCTAATGGTTTTTCCCATTTGATCCCACTTGGTGTCCAATTGGTCTCCAAATGGAATAAAACCATTTCATCCCAAATGGTATGTCCCCAATTGGTATCAAAATGGTTTCCAATTGGTAATTTCCCAATTGCTCCGAAATGGTGTTTTCCATTTGATCCCTATTGGTTTTGAAATGGTTTCCTATTGGAAAATAAATCCCATTTGATTTCAATTGGTGTTTTCCATTTCATCCCAATTGGTTCCAAATGGAATAAAACCATTTCATCCCAAATGGTGTGTCCCATTTGATCCCAATTGGTATCGAAATGGTTTCCAATTGGTAATTTCCCAATTGGTCTGAAATGGTGCTTTCCATTTGATCCCAAATGGTATGTCCCCAATTGGTATCGAGATGGTTTCCAATTGGTAACTTCCCAATTGGTCTGAAATGGTGCTTTCCATTTGATACCAATTGGTTCCAAATGGAATAAAACCATTTCATCCCAAATGGTGTGTCCCATTTGATCCCAATTGGTATCTAATGGTTTTTCCCATTTGATCCCAATTGGTATCTAATGGTTTTTCCCATTTGATCTCAAATGGTTTTTCCCATTTGATCTCAAATGGTTTTGCCATTTGATCCCAATTGGTGTCCAATTGGTCTCCAAATGGAAGAAAACCATTTCATCCCAAATGGTTTGTCCCATTTCATCCCAATTGGTTTTGAAATGGTTTCCATTTGGGAGTCGGAAGATATTCATATTTGATCTAAATTGTCCAAGTGGTCTCGAAATAGAATTTTATCTGATAAAGCGTGTCTTATTTAATCCCAATTGTTATTGAAATGGTTTCCATTTGGAAGATATATTCCTATTTGATATGAAATTGACAATGGTTTTCCCATTTGATCCCAATTGGTGTCGAAATGGTTCCCAAATGGAAAAGCAAATCTGTTTTGAAATGGTGTTCCCATTCTATTTCAACTGGTGTCGAAATGAAAAATGCATTTGAAAAGCATTCAAGGGTCGTTTTAGGCAAGAAAAAACATACTTATATGGCAATAACTTTTATTTCATGAGATGAATAAAAGCAAAGTCCGAACCGTAGTCGGAGCTGGAGTCAATTTTTGAGTCAGAGTCGAAGTTAGAGTCATAAATGCACCACTTTGCAGCCCTGTTTCCAGATGTGTGACAAGTATGCTTCAAAAGTGTTTCTACGTACCTTGATGGTCTCTAATGGTTTCAAGTGTGTTTTGAGTATGGACTGGGTATCTATTAGTTCCCAATTGGTACCCTAATGGTTTCTAATGGTTTTTAAACATTTGCTTAAATAATAGACTTAGAGGTAATGGGAAGACCTTTGACTGGTTATACTTGATAAGCATCACTACAAGACCTTGGTTTTTCATTAAATAAAAATGATTCGCAAAATTCACGTCGTTTCCGCTCATTTAAACAGCACTACTTTTTCTCTGTGTGCCTACGCTGGCGGCGCCCGACCGTTGGCGCCCGACCGTTGGCGGCTTGGCGCCCGGCCGGCCGCGCCGGCGCCCGGCCGGCCGCGCCGGCGCCACAGTTCAAACCGGGCGTCGACGTCGGCCGGCCGGCCGGCGCGCCTCCGTTTCGCGTTCGCTGGGCCTGGGACTGCCCGCGGTCGACCGGGACCCAGTCCTGCTGTAAAAGAGGAAGCTGAGCAGAATCACGCGGCTGGTGAGTGACTTTTCTTGTGCCTCTGTATGCGATATTCGTTTTACGACTGCAAATACTGAAAATAGTTATTTGAATAAATTTGGTTGCATTTGGCATCCTTGTAAGTACCTTACTGAGTTTAACAGAGGTGAGAAAGAGGCTTAAAATTAGCGATCACAATTTATTTTGCCAGCAGAAAATTGTCAGTGCCATATTTGTTGTGTTCAGGCTGCCTAAATGACAATGCAAGTTGCATGAGCTTAAAGTTATTATATTGTGATATTTGACAAATGACCCTGTGTGGTAATTAATTTGATCCCATCGCCCAATTAACCCGTGCTGTCCTGTACTGTTGCAGGCACGAACTTGCACCAGACAGACGCCGTCTACCGGTTCTACACGGGTCCAGATGGGCTGCATGCCTGCGTTATAGCTACGTTCTGACTTCTGAAAATTCTGATCGCCACGGAAGATTAAGAAATCTGTCAGAACAACAGACAGTATCACCGATCGGAATGATATTGTATCACGTCGTTCATTGTGCCTATGTGGAATAGCGTACGTATGGCCCAGTGGATAACTACATTGTAATTCTGTTCTTGATTTTGATAGCAGTCGCCTCATCGATGTGGTGTTGACCAAACAACAATGTCCATGTGTAGTTAATGTCTAATGTTGGTAGGTACGTACTGATGAAAATGTATAAGCTTGCAGAGTAAAACAATAAAAATAATTCACGGTGCAGTTTTTAATTTTGTGGATGAAATGCATGGACTTCAAAAGGATCTTCAAATGGTAATCCAGCTGCCCAGTAAAAAATACCATTAGAAATTTCCAAATGGTTCCAAATGGGAAAAACCATTTGACTTATTGAACACTTTTCCAAATGGTTCCAAAGAGGTTCCATTTGAAATGTGTCCAATTGGCCACCAATTGGTACCAATTGGAACCATTTCATGACCATTTGAAATGTGTCCAATTGGTACCAATTGGTGACCAATTGGATACATTTCAAATGGTCATGAAATGGTTCCAATTGGTACCAATTGGTGGCCAATTGGACACATTTCAAATGGAACCTCTTTGGAACCATTTGGAAAAGTGTTCAATAAGTCAAATGGTTTTTCCCATTTGGAACCATTTGGTAATTTCTAATGGTATTTTTTACTGGGTGCCAAGATACAGCTTAGCAGTGAATATTTTGACACTGTCCTGAAAGAACAGCAAGATCCTTTGCAGCAAATTGACTTTTTATTGGAGGGTTGGATTGAGTGGTTAGACTATTATGGTTAATTTCACATGACAGGCTCTGTGTACACATGCTCTGCTAATAATAGGTGAAGCAATACTGTAGTGAATAGTTGTCGGCACCTGCCACTTGGCGGCGCTAGCCTCGTGTCATCTGTGTGACCTTCAATACAGCAGTTGACCGCTACATTTGGTGACAGCGGTGCGCTCTCCCGCGCGGGGATGCCTGATAACGCGTTGTCCAGTGTTGTGCCGGGGGCACCACACGCTACAATACTTATTAACTGTTAAAGCTTATTCAAAATTGTTCAATGTCTGATAAAAATTATCTTAAATTTCATAACAATGTTTATGCCCTTAATGCTCCCGAAATTAATCTGCAGTTGCCTGTTGAGTCTATTTGTGTATTCAATTGTGTTCCTCCATTTCTGTGTTTTAGGGAAGAGTGTCAGGCTCAGGTGAATGGCTTCAAAGGGGCACAGTTTAAGAAGTTTGCCACACAGGAAGAGGCTGAGGCATTCAAGATGGGCGGCACTGGCCCCTGCTCAGTGCCCAACAACAATCTTGGACGACCCAAGGGCTCGACCTCCATCAACACCAAGAGGGCTACGTCGTTTGGAAAGGCTCCCTCAGCATCGGTGACCGGCTCGGCGCGAGCGGCTCCGTACCAGATAAAGCAGGAGCGAGCGGCGGGAGCGTCCTCAACGGACCTGGCGCCAGCATCTGAAGCCTCTCTGGATGACAAAAGAGTCATATTGACTGATATGGCCAAATGTGTTGCCAGCCTCCGTAACGAGATGGCTGAGCTGAAGAAGCAGATGACTGCACACGTGGCTGGCAAGGCGGCCAGCTCACCGTCCACCTCCAGTTCCGACCCGTCCGCCGCGCCGGACCAATTCATAGTGGACGCAGAGGGCTTCTTGAACGTGTGGACGGACGGCGCGTGCGGCTTCAACGGGCGTCACGGGGCGCGCGCCGGCGTCGGCGTGTGGTTCAACTCGGCGCACCCGCTGAACGTGTCGGCGCCCGTCGAGGGGCCGGCCACCAACAACAACGCCGAGATTCAGGCGGCGTGGGTGGCGCTGGAGCTGGCCAGCGCCGCCGGACACCGGCGCGTGCTCATCCACACCGACTCGCAGTTCGTCATCAACTGCGCTACCAAGTGGATGGCCAAGTGGCAGAAGAATGGCTGGACGCTCGCCAGCGGAGGGCCCGTCAAGAACCGCACCCAGCTGGAGGCGCTGGCGCGAGCCATGGATAATATGGATGTGAAGTGGGTGAGTATCGTCGGGGCCAGATCGGTAACTATTCAGGACGTATATCGATGGAGGCGAGTTCAATGGGTAGATGCTGGTTATCAGTGGGGCCGTGTGGAGGCAGGTGACCACGCCAGATCGGCCTTCAGTGCTTTTATATTTGTGTCCTGCTCAGTGCTTCCCTCCCCTTCATCCTGAAAAAAAAACTAACCAAGTAGGTACGTGGCGTCACCGAAATAAGAAACGATGTAAAAAAAAAACATTTCCTGTTGTAACTTTAGGCATTGTCCCGTCGTAATGTATTTGTGTGAGGAGCAACTTGTGCACCTGATACTTTGGCATGACCATTGACCAACCCACAGGCCGCCATACCTAAGATATTATCTTATTCCCACGCGAAATGTCGGTTGATCGTGTTTGATCGTGTTTTCCTCCTTCTCAGAACCACGTTCTTGGCCACTGCGGTGTGAAGGGTAACGAGGGCGCCGATCAGCTGGCAGTGGCCGGCGCCACGCGCTACAACCCTCAGACGGCCAGCGAATGACGTCACCGCTGGCGGAGGGACTACCGATCCGGGTACTTCGGCAGCGGACAGCGACTGGTGACGTCATCTGTGCTCCGGCGACCGTGCGGGACATGGACCGCTCACACCGTCACTAGTTCTAAAGTCGTCAGGAAAGGGTGGAGTGTGGTGGTCAAGACCTCAGAAGAGTGTTTCTATGATGGGCTGCTGTGACAATATCGCTTAATTCATTCCTGGAATAAGGGTGACGCTTGAAGTAAGCGGCATGTGACTGACACCTGCCTCCGCTTGATAATATCGCTGTGCCGACCCGTAGAAACGTCGTGGTTGACTGTCATGAGAAGTACGTACCTGATAGCGTTGCTACTGCCGGTGGCCAGTCTATTTGCGTGAGTTCAGGGTGTTTCTGGAGACCGGAGAGTGACCAGCTGGTGCATCGATGAACTTGTAACGCTTACCTGGGCTTCCTTTATCGCTGTCAGCTTGTTTGAGGTCATGGGAATTGGCCCAGCTGGATACTGCATAAGCCAACACCTTCATACGTTAGGTTATCGTACTGGTGAACCTTCGGGGGGGGGGGGGGGGGTGGATTTGATATTGTTCCAAACCTACTCGGCCTCAGAAAGCAGGGTTAAGGTGGGCATTATCCGTCAGCTGAAAGTGTGATTGTTTGATACCGGTGTTTTGACAGCGAACCCGAAGCTTGCATGCTGCACTGTAGTGACACGTTACGGGCTGGGAATCGTCTCCCCGAGAATCTCGGGCTTGTTTCGTTTTGTGATACGCGTTTTTGCTTAAGTCGTTCTTTTCACAACGATACCTCTGTAATAAAATTAAAAATACATTGGTTGGTTAATGGTTTCGACTTTTCTGAGAAATAAACTAATCGATGGTATAATGGTGTAGATGTAAAGTTTGCGTTATATGAGGTGAATACCTCCCGCGTTTTATTGATAAAAATGTAAATATGGTCTTATCGGTCTATTAAAACAACCTCTTGCTACCGCATGCAATGGCTCACTATGACCGTCACTATGGTTCACGTGATACGCCGACAAACATTTGCCACATCTGAGATAGCATAACAAATATTTGGGTAAAATGATGATAAAACGTTTGCTTATATAACTGGTTTGCTTGGTCAAAGGCAAAAGCTTAGTACCTCCCACTCTTCAATACTCTTCCTGGGCAGCGCTCACAAATCTCTGCTTTCCTTGCCGTGATTCCAGGCTACGCGACGATGCATGCTGCGCCACCGACATTGAATAAACTATCGTTACCTAACCACTCTATAGATGACGCTAGTAGTAAGCGCCTGAAAGTATACTGTACCGCATAGCATATCTACAAGCAATGGAATTTGGGAAGCTGAAGCAGTAAAGCATTGGTGGATCGAGAAGCGTGGTAGGTATTAAAAGCTGCAGGGGGAGATAGGTACTGTCCAAAAAGGCTTTTGGCACTGAATAGCAAATGGGCGACATTATCTCCGGGTGCGATGTCTCTCAGACGACGAAGATTCTACGTCGTCCGGCCAATCACGTTCCATAACCGCAGCCGAGCCCCCACTGACCTTGAACGGGATTGGCCGGACGACGTAGAATCTTCGTCGTCCGAGAGACAACGAACGCGGGGTATACTTACACAGCGTTTGGTGGGGAGTGTTTCCACGTTCCGTTAGCCCGGTTCCTGAGCCATGCAGAAATAAGATAAAATGTCTTTCCGGCAATGCGGTAGAAATATCAAATGCGAAAAGGCACTTATCGGCCATTCTTTCATCAACGTTAGATAGCTTAGTTCAACACCTTGTTCTCGATAGAAGATCCGTTCCCTACACACATCAATACATCTCGCTGGTTAGATATGACGCATACGTTTGGTACATATAGCCTGGCGCCAGCTTCAATATCCAAGCACAGAGTTTATGCTTCCACCCTCCCTAGCCATTACACCTGAGCTCGCCTCTGCTTACACTCCCCTCTCCGCCGCCCCTGGGTCCGCCCCTGCCACGACCCGCCCGGGGCGGTGACGGGAGTGACCCGGCGGCCGGGCCGGTGCGCCGCGCGCCCGCTCAGTCGGCCTGTGACCCGGTCACGATGAGCGGCGGTGGAGGAGGCGGCAGCAGCAGCACCGGCGACGGCAGCGGCAGCGGCGGCAGCGCGGCGCGCTATGAGCGTCTCGAACAGATCGGCTCGGGGACGTTCGGCCACGCGTGGCTGGTGCGGTCGCGCGCCAGCGGCCGACAGTATGTCGTCAAGGAGATCAAGGTGACGGCGCTGCCTGAACAGGAGCGAGAGCAAAGCGTCAACGAGGTGGCCATCCTGTCGCAGTGCAAGCACGTCAACATCATCCGCTACAAGGAGGCGTTCATCGACCAGCTGACTGGCTCGCTCAACATCGTCATGGAGTACGCCGACGGAGGTGGGTCCGCTTCGCTCTCCGCGGAGGCGCTGTGTGGGGGATTGCAGGAGTACGGGGGACGCTGCACTTAGGGGAAAACGCTGACTATCTGTTTCGAATGATATCTTCGCTTGTATGATCGAATAGTATCGGCTTTGAATGAGATTTCAATTAGGAATACACTCTTGGACATTAAATTTCAATATGATATTGGCCTGTAGTAAAATTACGTTTGAGCTCGAAATAACTGCCGCTATATCTATAAAATGCTAATTGGCTTATGTTACTTTTGCGGCTGTTTTCAGGTGACCTGTACGCTCGCATCGTGAACCAGCGAGCTACCAACGATCACTTTCCCGAGGAGCTGATCCTGAACTGGTTCATCCAGATCACTTTTGCTGTCCAGTACCTGCACAGCAAAAATATCCTACATAGAGGTGAGGAGGAGGACAATATGTTTCTATGATATACTTCATTTTTCTTCTCTTGAATCGCTTGGCGCACAGGCTATCAGAACAATGAAATATACCTAAATGTTCAGAGGGACATATATAATTCATTTTTATATTTATATCTTATAGTTGTGTCGTGCTAAGCAGTGCTTTCCGCGATAAGTAATTTTCGGACCTGCGATAACGATAAAACGATAAGTAAGGTTTGCGATAACGATAAACGATAAGCGATAAAAATTTGCAAAAAATTAACAGCGATAGCGATAAAACGATAAAACGATAACGGTAATTGTTTTGTTAACAGCGATAACGAAACGATAAACGATACAACGATAACGATAATTGTTTTTTAACAGCGACTAGAGGGACAGCATTACGCGCAGCGTAATAAATCAATTTTCATTAAAATCGGCCCAGTAACGGGCGAGTTATTGCCAGAATAAATTTGGCGTCTCCTCTTGGCCGGCGGTGCCCTGTTCCGGTATTCATTGCCAAAGGTCAGTGACCTTCCGGCTCTGATTCCGCTCAGTTTTGCAAGCGAAGAAGCTGAGCCTAAGGCGCGTGCTCTCTGATCGGCGCCGGCCGCGGCCCAAAATTCCGCAAAGATGCGCCCGCCACGTGCAAACCACCGCACCCACCTCTTTCAAAATTTAATACAACAAACAGATGCACGCGTCCGACTTACGTTCAAAATTTCACCCCCGTAGCCCGCACCGTTCCGGAGCAATAGCCCGCCAAGCGTGACTGACGCGTTACATACATACATACATACGGACATTTTGATTTTTATATATGTAAACTAGAGGGACAGCATTACGCGCAGCGTAAAGAGGGACAGCATTACGCGCAGCGTAATGAATCAATTTTCATTAAAATCGGCCCAGTAGCGGCCGAGTTATGGCCAGAATAAATTTGGCGTCTCCTCCTGGCCGGCGGTACTCTGTTCCGGTATTCATTGCCAAAGGTCAACGACCCCCAGGGATGTTTCCGCTCATGGTTTTGCAAGCGAAGAAACTGAGCCTAAGGCGCGTGATCTCTGATCGGCACCGGCCGCGGCCCAAAATCCCGCAAAGATGCGCCCGCCACGTGCAAACCACCGAACCCACCCCCTCCAAAATTTAATACAACAAACAGATGCACGCGTCCGACTTAAGTCCAAAATTTCACCCCCGTAGCTCGCACCGTTCCGGAGCAATAGCCCGCCAAGCGTGACTGACGCGTTACATACATACATACATACGGACATTTTGATTTTTATATAAGTAACTAGACGGACAGCATTACGCGCAGCGTAATAAATCAATTTTCATCAAAATCGGCCCAGTAGCGGCCGAGTTATTGCCAGAATAAATTTGGCGTCTCCTCCTGGCCGGCGGTGCTCTGTTCCGGTATTCATTGCCAAAGGTCAGTGACCTGCCGGCTTTAAGTTCACTCAGTTTCGCAGCGAAGAAACTGAGCCTAAGGCGCGTGCCGTCTGCTCGAAACCGGCCGCGGCCCAAAATCCCACAAAGATGCGCCCGCCACGTGCAAACCACCGAACCCACCCCCTCCAAAATTTAATACGACAAACAGATGCACGCGTCCGACTTCAGTCGAAAATTTCACCCCCGTAGCCCGCACCGTTCCGGAGCAATAGCCCGCCAAGCGTGACGGACGCGTTACATACATACATACATACGGACATTTTGATTTTTATATATGTAATAACAAAAGCGATAAGAAATACAGCTTAAAAAGTGTACTTTAAATTTATTTGCAGATCTATAGACTTGGCAGTTGGCAACAGGTTGCGCACACATACTGTCGCGTGGCATACGCTGTCGATCGTCTTCCATTTTTCCATCATCCCGTTTTACATTTTATCGTTTATCGTTCATAATTTTTGTTACTTGCGATAAGTGGATGAGCGATGATTTTGAAAATTTAGCGATAAACGATAACGATAACCGATTTACTTAACAGCAATAATTATCGTTTATCGTTTATCGCTCATCCTATCGCATGCGGAAACCACTGGTGCTAAGTAAGACAGTGTTTTTACGAAGGTGATTATATTTTGCCGTAATATATTTTTTTTCTTTTCAGACTTGAAGACCCAAAACATATTTTTGACGAGTGAAAATTTAGTGAAGGTCGGCGACTTTGGTATCGCTCGAACCTTGCGGAGTACCCAAGAGCTGGCGACTACGGCTATAGGAACACCTTACTACCTGTCTCCGGAGATTTGCCAGAGGTAAGTGACAGAGTCGGAACCATATAATATATGACAGTGCATCTTACCCTTGCTGTCGTATGAAATTTACAAACCTTTCCAAGATTGAGATTTGTTGCAGGCTAACTATTAATGACGATGCTTCGCTTTTGATTTGTTTGTTTTGTTTTCAGACAACCGTACAACCACAAGTCTGA